ATAAATACCATACAAAAACAGTTTAATGCTTAAGTACAACATTGTATCTTTTTCGGAGACTTGTTGTTTCCGCGCATTGTCAACTTACGATTACGCAGACACGTATATGCATTGCATATACATGTTTCAAGCCATGTCTCATGACTTGAATGTTTTGTTTAATATGTACTTATCCAAATTTTCGTGAACTATATAATGGTATTTATGATTACAAGAGGGCAAAACGAAGAACATTACAAATGCTTGAAAGCTGTCCATACCGGCCGCTGCACTGAAAGTTAATATCATAGAACAGTGCAAGATGTAACGTTTACATGCAAATATCTATATTAGTTAATTGCCATATTAGACTGTTGCGTTGAGCATATCCACATGCTATTACGTACACAGGGACTTGACACGTTCCTATGACCCAGAATGAAAAAAAAAATATCTTTCATTCTGGGTCATAGGAATGTGTCAAGTCCCTGTGGGTACGTATATGTATTCACAGCATATGCACAAAATGCATGATTTTTTTGATACCGGCAGCATATATTTGCCGGTATAAGTATTTCCTGTCTTGATAAAAACTATACAGTTTCAATTGTAATTGCAATATTAATTCAATTTTGAATAACAACTTAATAAAAACGAAAACAATTAGGTATAATTTTCCGGGGAATTATCTCCATGGATACGCTCCATCGAGAGTAATACTGCAGCTGATATTCGTGGGTACACAATGTACTATCGGCACACAGGTTAACCGTTATCTAACGTCACCGTACCCAAATCGGGACACTTTTTAGTTAAACATCAATGTTCTTTATACAAAATTATACTATCAGTTCCAAAGATGTTTGTCCATTTTACTTAAAAAGATACTATACATTTTACATTTTTATCACAATTTGATATTTTGGGCGCGTGGTTAAATAAAAAGAACGCGAAATACCATCAGAGTTAGGTAGGCCGTTGAACCGGCATTACTGTACCCTGGAAGGGACACTTCCGGTATTTTGGCGAATATTTGGGTATACACGATCAATATCGACAGAAAATATGAATAGTTAAAATATGTTAGAGTCAACGAGGGTTCTGATTAAATTTCTTCTCCAAACTCTCATTAGTTTTGATAAAATAGACTTTTGAAAATGATACCCAAATAAATAGCGTCGCACGGTACGTATTATGCTTACCTTTAAATTGTTCAAGCTTAATACAGTTTAATTGTCATGAAAATATTCTCAAATAAACGTACTTCTTTGCATTGAATGACAGTTTCTTGGGCCGATTGTACACTTACTTTTATTATAAAATAAAATGTTATCGTTTTCGTGCACATCATTATTATTATATAATTTACAAATATACTTAAGCAGGTATGTAAGTTATTTAACCGAATGAGTTGTCGAATCTTGCACCGGGCTATGATATTACTTCTCAGTGCAGCGGCCGGTAGTATGGACAGCCTTCAAGCATTTGTAAAAATCTTCATTTTGCTCTTTTGTAATCAGAAATTATTGTGGAATAACCTCTACGGAAGCCAGATTGGTTTTCGTTTATAACTGAAAATCCCCAGAGAACTTAGTTAATCTATTGGTAAGTATTGCTGTCAATAGTTTACCTACTAAGGTCAGAGTGGTAATGGGTCGATTTCCTTCAACCCAATACTTTTTAACCTGATCATCACCGCTTGATTTGTTGTTTTTCAAATTGTTTACACATTTTTCTATTTCAGCAGCCGATATTGGTTCAGTAAGGCTGAGATGCAAATCTGTTGTAGATCAACGTTGCCTATTTCATTTTCAAGTTCTTGCTTTGCTCCTGAGCTGATAGTAGGTGAACTATTAAGGTCATTGAAAAAGTTAAATAAGGTTCCAGTAGATATGTCATTATGCTTACTCTTCTTTGGAATGATTATCTTCCAGTATTCTTTAGGATTTGTTTACTTCATTTCATGTAAAAAAAAAAAATAGTCTTTTTCCTGTATATAACCAAGTCTTTGTTTAAAATTGACTTATAATATTTTCTTGTTTGTGCCATATACAAGATCTAGCGTTATCCGATTTACATCTTGTAAAACAATGTATTTTTTTCCGTGCCTGTTTACATTCTGAAGAAACCCAAGGTTTGTCATCACTTAATTAATCAGTAATTCGAGTACCCGTTTTAAAGACGAATACAGTAGCTGCAGCATTTATTCACATTGAATTTTTTTTCCGACAGTTTGATTGATCGATTCCGCTGTACGTTCGTGCAACTGATGTAGCTGGTCAGTACCTTCAATGGTGTTGTTAATATCTTCAATGTTAATTGATCTAATAAAAATATATCGTTTATTATTATCCCACGATTTAAATTACTTCAGAGCAACGATAATTACCCGGGGTTTGTGGGGAATTTGAAGGAAATGTTAGAGACGATGTAATGGGAGAATGTACGTCAGATAAGAGTGTATCTACATCACCAACCGACATGCTTAATATGTATTCTAAAATACTGCGACCAGAAATGAAGTAATCAACTACGCTTGACCCTTGACATGTCGTATTCCCACTTGTAGTGTCGCCTATGAAGTATGACTTGGGAAAAACTTAATTAAGAACTCATGTTTTCTAAATTTCACTGTAAAAGTATAAGATGGTAGATATGGTGTGCTGTTAACATGAAAAGTGATATTAGCCTCGGCTTCATATCGGTTGTCATCACAATTTCTTAGGTTCATATACCGCCATAGTCAACATACATCACAAAAAACATTTTTTTGTTCGTGTTTTACGTCCTATAACCATCCATAGTCATTTAAGGACGTAGCAGGTTATGGTGGTGGAGGAAAATCTACGGCCAGTTCCTGGCGACTTAACCCCTGAAACATGTAAAATTACTCTGAACACCTTAGTTTAGGTCCAACTTTAGCTATAACAAAGTCATGACAATAATAAATGCCAACAATAGTATTGTTGATCTGCCGAAGGAGGTTATCCGGGCGGGTGATTTAAATTAAGATGTGCTCATCCGAATTCTCAGCCACATCGGCTTATTTAGAAATAGTAATTAAGTATACATAAACCTCCCAAGTGTGACACTCTATCTGCAACATCTCTTTTTAACCTGTAGACGTTGTTTGGTTTAGTTTAATTTTGTTTGCGTCCTATTAACAGCTAAGGTCATTTAAAGACGTGCCTCCATAATTTTATGTGTAGGTTATGAGTGCTTGGGTGTATGTATGCAGAAGACAGGGTTTTAATGATAATATCATATTGCGCCCTAGTGCTCACAGTAATCACTGTTTATAACCTGCAAAGCTTTATGTTAATGTTATTACCAATGTCACTGTTGTAAAATAGACCCTTTCAAAATAAACATTTCATAAAAATCACATGCTCCATTGCATTTGACACCTAGAGAGAGTACAACGTTTTTGAGTCAATCCAACTTGAAGTAGCACGTATTATTACAGATTTAAGATGGGGAACTAGTCATGATGTTTTATAGAGAGTGATTGACATCGACCACTTAGTAAAAGAAGACATGTGCATCGAAACATTACACAGATGTGCAATCGTCCGCATACGTAATAGCGCTCTCAGCGATGCGTGATAATTAAGCATTGAACTGTTTTTGTATGGTAGCGCGCATTATGTTGTTTGCTTGCAAAGCTGTGTCATTCAAATAGATCATAAATACCATACAAAAGCAGTTCAATATTTATATTTACGTTTTCTCTGCCTCTTATGTTCATTTTGAAAGCTGTGTCGTTGATGGGACTTTAATTACCATGCATCACGAGACACAATTCTTAGCGTATTAATACAACACTGACCGGAACTACAATATGCAATATAAATAAACATGACGGCTGCTGAAATATCGCTGGGCATTGTGAGATTTGACAATGTCATTGTGAATTTATGTACAAAAAAATAAAATAAATAAAAAACACTTTTAATACAACGAAAACAAGACCAAGGTCTGCAATATCGTACAAAATGCACATCGGTTGAAATCACCAATGCCGGCAATGGAAACAATTTTAATGCTCATGCAATTTATCAGAAATGTCGTCTGTTACACTGCACTGATCAAGAGGGGTTCGTTACAAATGTCTGAAATACACATATTATATAGACCTACTGCCACATATGTTACAGACCTACTGATATGAGTCACGGCACACATAAATATTTCAGACATTTGTAACGAACCTGTGCTCCGTCGCAAGATCACTCACTTCAAACGCTATCAGTTTCACGCATCTCGCATCAACTGTTCCTCAGTTTCTGATGACATGTCAAATGACGAGTCTGTTATAGAATCTACTGACTGTTGTCAGGTTCCCATACAATAAACAAATACATTCACGGATTTACGGTGTTCACTGTATTTGTCCATGCGCGAAATTTGTTTCGGGGAAAAATCGAAACAATTTCAAATCTAACTTTCAGATCAGAGTTCTATTGACAATCTTACATCACCCTATAGACATATCATTCGCAATTGTATTGATACTGAATTGTAGAATAAAACTGAAGTGTTTGTTAAAATTTCAAAGTACTACTTTGTTTGCCAATCAGCACGCGACAATACGCTGTTCAAACTATTGAACGAAATTGTGTGGACTGTCGATAAGGCGGGCATTTTTAATTTTAAATATAAATTATAAGTTAAAAAAGAACATAAGAGGCAGAGAAAACGTAAATATAAGTATTGAACTGTTTTTGTATGGTATTTGTTGCGCATTATGCTGTTTGCTTGCAAAGCTGTGTCATTCAAATAGATCATAAATACCATCGAAAACAGTTCAATGCTTAATTGAATTCCACATTTTTGTCACCTAGCAACACTGATGAGTCCTAGAAGGACATACAGAATGGTGCAGTATAATGCTTGTTTGGCTTACTATATCAATTACCAAAGTGTACAGGTGCAAACACATGTGTGTGTGTCGCATTAATCTTTTAAAAATATAACTCAGTAATTCAATAGAAACTGATAAGCAAGATAAATGTACTTACCCGATGACGAGTTGGATCAGTCCAGTAAATCTCAGACCTCCTCTCTGCGTCATGTTATAGGTCCCCACTAATTCGGGTGGAATGCGTCGAACCAATGGCTATGTGCTACTGAAATAGTTAGCCATGCTTGACAGTGTGCTGTGCCTGTTACTTGGTTGTGATTTTGAAATATTGATATCTATGTTATGGCTCGATGGGTTGACATGCACAAATATAATGGATTTTACTCAATGAAAAAAACGAATTTATTTTTCATAATGGATGGACGGAAGAACATAATAGAATTTTTCTGTAGGACCCAACAGCCCTCGAAAGAAATAATTTGACCACTATTTCAACAGCACTATCTAACCGTTCTGAGTGTATTTTGGTAGTGGTTTTATTTGTTTATGTGTTTATTTATTTTTTATTTATTTTTTATTTTCACAAATTGGTTCATTTTCTATATATTTATTTCAAATGCTAAGATCACCCAAGGTTTTCCGTTATATACATTGACACAAAATATTACATTAACAAGACAATAGAGCTACACACATCCACGGATACACAAAGCTATACTCGTACAGTACCTACATAACAAAATACATTGTTATACAAGAGTATTTTAAATAAAGACTTACTTTCTATAATAACAACCTTTGTGAACATCTCCATCACCGTGTCGGGCCGAACACGTGACCTTGTCGTGAGCTCTCAGCTGAAAGATTAGTCCTTCTTTGTACAAAATTGTCCAGGCGATTCAGCTTATACACCATCAAATGCTATTAAGATTATATATAATACAGAGTCTCAATTCAACGAGAAGGTATTCGTTATATGTCTGTTTTTGAGGATTGTTTTTATTAGGTAAATCATGTACCGAGGCAGACCTATATGTTTTGGAAAGGGCTTTTATTGACTTATTTGTTGTCCACATTCTATTTTACTATCAATGTTGTTTTATCACATAACTGATCCATTTTGTAACGTTTACAGACTGCGTTTAGCAGTAATAATTGAAGAGAATCCAGAGACACTGGAAACGTGTTTCAAGCCGCCATGTTTATTCAAGAACCTTCTAAGTTACAGAGACGCTTGAAGCGTAACATTATCAAGGGGAACAACTCTTGATGCCTTGGAGGCTTATGCATACATTACACATTTTACTATGCCACACGGCCATGTCATAGATATGGTATTGCAAACGTGTAATAAAAGATAAAGCTGCTGCGATTAGCCAAAATTGTGGGTCCTATTCATATGCCACTAAAGGTACTTCTTTAAGTCACTGTACAACAAGATACACAATGTACATTCTACTGTGATTTTAAATGAATTTGAAATATTGTTTTGATTTCATGTGAAACGGTTAAGTAAGAACAACAATCTGGAACTACTTCGCACTATGCAGAACGACAATGCAATGGGTACTTTTGTTTTGACCAATATAGAGTCAGATGATAACAAATATTTGTGTTTGAAGATTTTTCTTCTTCAAATTATGAATGTTATGTGATAACTAAAAGCTTACATTCGTCTCCATGTCATTTTGATATGACATTGACACTGATGTCAGATCTTCTATTTATGAAATGAAAGAGAATAGGCAATCCCGAAATGGCATTGAGACGAATGTATTTGCCGAGACCTTTATGACAATATCTTGTTAATTTTGTTGACATCTTGTAAGACTTGTATGTTGTAAAGTTGCATGTTTGCGAGTACTCAATTTGACTAAATGTGTAGTTGCATGTTTGCGGTTATTCAAATTGACAGTGTGAAGTTACATGTGTATGGGTACTCAGTTTGTCTTAGCGTGAAGTTACATGTTTATGGGTACTCAGTTTGTCTTAGCGTGAAGTTTCATGTTTGCGGGTATTCAATTTGCCTAAATGTGTTTTTGCATGTTTTGGGTACTTTTAAAACATATCTGACCCACTCTGGAACACACTAAAGGAGGGGTTACATTAATCTGTTGTAACGTTTGCTTGTAGTTGAACGGTTTTGGAAGCGATAGCTTTAGTACGAACAGGCTGAAAGAGTCTGTCATCCGGAACAATATAAGTAGAATCCTCGTGTAAAGTTTTTATACAGATAGAGGAAGCGAATAAATTATGATCCGAACATGTTGAACACACAGTTGTTTCTCTAGAGTTTCCATCAGGTCTTTGAATATAACACTGTACTAGGTAGGAATAGTGTAGTGGCGATGTTCATGACTACGTTTACGTCTCCTTTGAGGAGTTAATACAATAATAAATGAGTGTGGAATTTAGTGCAATAGTAATTTGGCAAATTCGTTTTGCAATGCTCATCTGTATAAACAGCGGTTCAAGGGAGACTACTGTAAGATAATTTTTTTTATATATGTACATAATGGTAGCGAATGCCTCCGAAATATGTTGTACCAGTATGTTACAGATTTTGTTCCGTTTGGAATTATCTATACTGTAGAAAACGTTACATACAAATTGTTTTGTTTCTCAAAAATATGTTTGTAAATTGAAGACTAAATACGAAACGTGATAAACAAATCTGGCCAATCACTCACTCGCTGATTGCCTAGAAGTTAAAGGCACATTCCGTTCACTGAATATGACATAAACATTACTGACATTTTCATTACATTGAGACAACAATGGTATTTTACATATATACTGGACTGCTTAGTCATTAAAGTTCTAATATATTTGATTTGATTTGACTTGTTGCCTTAGTAATAAGCCATGGAAAAGTCTTACACGCATAATTATTTGGCTTCTTTTAATAACGTAATGGCAAAAACACAGATGACAGTTGACAAAACCGAAACAGTTTCATACTAAACGGTTAACTATATCGGTCAATACGGCATTGCAATTTATAAAGACAATCTATAAAAAGAAAGAAAAAAGTAATACAATCATGAGGACAAGTAGAGGTAGTAAGCTAAATTATTCAGCAGTCAACGAGAATGGCATAATAGTAATTCATGCTTTCTCTTAATAGTGTCATATTGAAACATATACTATTTTTAGGAATATATCAGTACTAAGATTACAGCATTTGTCTACATAAAACTCAAAATATGATCACAATATATTCAAATATTGCATCGTTTGACACACTTTTTCACTATTGACCCTTTGAAATTAACAAAGTCAGATACATCTCGCGAAATGTACTTCAGAGTTACTGTAAGTGTGCCGAATGTTATTAAACCATCTCACCACCTTGTTACAAGTTTGTACAGGAGAACCACGTCACAGTCCATCTGTGTTAGGAACAGTGTGGTACCCTCTCGCTGAAATCCTATGGCGTAAGGATTCCGGATTCCATCTTTGGCGGTCAGTAACACTTTGTTGAGCAAACCATCTTTTGTTAGTTGGTGTACGTTGTTTGAATCCATTCCACAAACATACAAATTTCCCTCGTGATCGCGAGCAAATCCACGTGGCGATCGTAGATCGGGGTCGCGGTATTTAAACACGTGGCTTCCGGACAAGTCTTTCGATGTTATGCCGACCTTGTCTGTGAAAACAACGTTGTCCCGGTTAGCCATAACGTATCTTGTACCGCGATCCTCTAGTGGACGCGTGCTCTGTAGTTTTCCATCCCTGTCTAACACTCGTATTTCGTTGGAACATGCAATGACCAGGGCTTCATCAAGTAGTTGAATTCCATGACATCCCGTGCCTACCTCCATCGTCTCGCTTCTGAGAGTAATTTCACCTTCCTTACTTAATGCCACCAGACATATGGTAGACTCGTCTGGAACAGTGAAAGCTAATTCTCCATTTGCAAGCTCGCAAATGTCCCAGGGTTGTCCACGAAGATCAATCGACGAAAGCATGTCACCTGTTTCATTAAAGCACTTCAGCCTTCGGTTTCTGTAGTCCGCCAAGACCAGAAAGCCTTTCGATGTGAAAAGACCACCAGTAAACCAGCAGTGATTGCTGTCCGTTGGACACTTTCCGTTTATTTCTAGAAGCTTTTCAATTCGCCTGTCTTTCAAAAAAGCCGGAAGTATGTTATTTGGTGCCCTCATTATGTTGATTTTTCCAACGGAAAGAACGTTTCTAGTGAACTCGTTGATGACGTCATTGACTACAAATTCATAGTTGTAGTCAAACACTCTGCTGCTTTCTGATTTCATGAATCTGTCATGCTCCTCACATCTTTTCCTCAGTTTTTGAGTCGTGACATAAACCTCGTTCTCGGCACCCATGGCTTCAGACACGGCAAGAATCTTCTTTCCATTCTCGGCTGCTTTGCAAATATATTCAAAATCCTTGCTTTGGACTTTAAGCTGTTCAACAATCGCTTCGTGCATTTTGGATAGCTCTTCCTTTAGTTTTTCTTCCATTTGCTGAAGCAGTGTTTCGATTTCATCACGTAACGATGCGACGTCAGACAAAATTGCTTCCTGTTTACGACCAAGTTCTTCGATCGTGTTGGAACGACTGTTAATGACTGCCAGAGTGTGATCCTCGACCCATTTTAATTTATCAGCAACTGACTTAATTACGCCGCTCTCCTTGATGCCACAGGCTATCTCATCTAATGACTTGACTTTCTGACATTTTCTGTGATCATATGTTACACAGTCCAAACAACACAGGTGGTCATGGTCGTAGCAGAAAGCTTCAACCACCTTTCCAGCGTGGGTCTGACATAGTTCCTCTGTCTCCGCCATCTTGTGGGGTTTGTTTCGGATCTCCTCCGTGTTAAGGACGGTATGGTCCATCAAGACTTTCATGCGCTGGTGATAAGTAACACAGTGTTCACAGAGAAATTCACCACAGTCGTAACACCAGGACATCGCGGTCGTGACGACATCTCCTCGAGAACATGGGCCGCAAGTCTTTACTCCTTCAAGAGAAACCTTCTCTATAAGTGCGGTAAGCAGGCAGCTGTTTGGGAGCAGTGGCAGCCATGAGTCTACAGGAACGTCTGAAACGGGTAACTTCGTCACTGTTCGACAGGACGGACAACTGAAAGAGCAGTTTGCCCGATTGTCTACTGGTATACTCTTGAAGTGGATGAGAAGACAGGCTGAACAAAAGGAGTGGAGACATTGCAGAGTTTTCGGTTTCACCAACACTTTATCACACAACTGACAAACAATAACATGCTTTTCGTAGTTTGCCGGCAAATCCATTTCTTCAAATCACAGGTAAACAATAAAGATTCTATGATGTATCTGTCTCCTTTAGGTTAATAACAGTAGCTATTTGATATTGTTGATGTCTCTTTTACCGCTACTCTTTGAGACAACAAACAAAACACATACAGACAGTTGTTACCAACAGGTCAATGTCGCATGTCATCGATTGTTCCTATAAAATACCAGACAATGTCCATGTTTAAGAAAATAAAAGACAAACACCAGTATTCCTTGTCATCGAAACTGGTGGTGAGGTAAAACTAATTCTGGCGTAGAAACGTTATCTGTGTTAATAAAAGATTCTGTCGATCAGAAATAATATGCCGAGCTAAGGTAAGTACAGCTAGTAATCTGGCAGAAAACCACTAACTTATCTGAGTCAACGTATCGAGCTGTTTGAATCATAATGGGCATGTTACCAATAGCGCAAATAAAACTTGACGCGGAGATAGGTATGTATATAAAAGGTCGACTTTCAGCAACATTAGTGGTAGCTTAACCAAGCTCGGATAACTCATCTTCAAAATACAAGAACGGATTCAATCGTAACATGTTATTATGTTTAATGCTTATCGGATTAAAATATTTTTTAAAGTTAATTATATTTCATGATAATTAAGCTAGCTTGTATCATTTAGTTAGGGGACTAAGTTGTGAAGAAAGCTGGTCGATAAGATAAACAGATAGCAAGGCGTACGTATCTTCGGGAGAAACATATTACAGTAAAAGGATGATTTCGAGGCATGCTACGTGCAATAAAACGATCATATATATATCTTGTTATGAATTACTTCAAAACACGGGAGAAAATTTCGTAAACTGACTGTACAAGAAAGGAAAACATCGATCGTTAATGGTTAAGAGGACTATACTTTTGTGTATCTGGCCCTGGTCTGCTAAATTTCCGATCGTGTGTATACAATAACGTCAAAACTTTCACCAGACATTTAAATAGATATCCATCGATTAGAGCTGGAAAACGATCAAATAAATATACAAGTCTGTCCTTGTATTATTGCTATTCACACCACACAGTAGGGATTCTGGAGACGTCGGCAATTTCAATTGCAAATGGGACATTAATCTTCATTTTTGGCATGCTCTGCCCTTTAACATCAACATTTGAAAGGTGTTTGAATGATATTTCCTTATCGTATTCATTGAAATGTAATGAAACATACAAGTTCCAAATAAGGATTTGTGACAGTACTTGCTAGCTAGTGTATGTTAAGATATTGATACGTTTGGTAAGTAGATCTTTAAGTAGGTGCAGCCTGTTTGAAAATTTACAAATGTTAAGTATCCTAGATTTTTACAACGAATATGTTTAACATGTATCGCTAGTAGCCATATAACTTAGCATAATCGTCCGTCATCGATATTATATCATTAATCAAAAGGGTATTTTTCTGTAAAGAAAGTTTTAACAATCATTATGTCTGCTGTGGCAACAAAGATAGTTACACTGACGGAGTTAGCTGTGGTCATTTTCGAGAGAGAAAAGAACGGGTGCAAAACGACTCTAACAGTTATTATATTTGAAAAAACACAAATCATTATCAATTTGTTATGTTGAAAGAAGCCGTTTATATAAACGAATAGCGAGAGATATATATGTTTCTTTTTTAATTATTTGAGCAAAGTGCGATAATGGAGCAAGTTAATTTTTTTATCAGTTATGTATTCAGACTGATTATGTACATAGAGGAAAGACCAAAATCATCATTTGAACTCAACATCGATGAAACTATGGCTACAAATGATCAAAGGAAAGACTAAACTGAACACCATTAAAACCTCAAGAATTATGTCAGATGTTCCGGAAGGGTTAGCGTCTTCTGCTTTATCGACAATACCAACTATATAAACCTAGGTCAAGTAATGCCACCTCGTCAAAGTGAGAATCGAGGTGGTGACAAAGAAACCAGAGGGTACACTAACTAGCGAAATGTATCAAGTTCGATCACCGTATCACATTAGGAAATAAAATGTCTTCCTATAAAACTATGAAACAAATTGGCCACACCAAGCTTTTCCGGATCCCCATAGGAATATCAACAGGGTCAAGGACAATGTCGATCAAAATTTCAATCAAATAGATTTCATATCTTCAGTGGAAAATGGTGAAATGATTTTTGAAGAAAATTCTCAGGCTGGGGGATGGTGATACGGTGGTGGTGGTGGTGGTTGGTCCTGAAGCCCAAAAAACCCCTCTTGATCCGCAACTGATAAGCAGAAGTCAAACAATGGAAAAATATACATGACGACCCCTGAAAAAGACGTAAACGGAAAATAAGGCCAGGAGTTGGGATGGATATCATTATTATTATTATTATGGAAAAGCATCCTTGAAAAATTGTCCACGATCAAGCATGCTCACAAACAACGCAGTACTGGTAATATGTTTTGCATTACATTTTAATGAGTTTGTAAGAAACAGTTGACAAATAGAATCAACAGATATTAAAGAGAAGTTGTATCACAATCATAAACAATATAACCCTGTCAGTTATTATAACCTGGGACCAGTTCATCAAAATTAGCCTAATGATATGTTGAGATAAAATTTCACTCATTTTTTTTTTTTTTTAAATACATTTGAAATTGAGTATTTGTGTATAAATTATCTGATGGTGATCAGTTTGAATTCGAAGAACGTCATGTTTTCATTTTTATATTATTTGACTAAAAAGTAAAAAAAAAAAGAAAAAAAAAATATTTAAAATTTATTTTAACTTATCATTAATGTAATGAACCTAGATAAACTGTGTCCAGTATATAAAAGTGTATAGACATGTTAGTTTAAATTGAGCCGTACATAATGTCTAGTATTGCTGTTGAATCGAGTGGAACTTGGTTAGTGTGAATTATCTCCATTAAAGCCAGAACTCCTCTCATCTAGTAAAATAACATACAGTATTTTAAATCAAGAACATCAAGAACTGATATACTATGTGCTTGATATTAAGAGAACCCTCTTCAAGACTAACCAGGTTCCACTCTGCATACGGTAGTAGCCAGGGCATGCTGAAGGCACGGCATTCTTAATAGTGTTCATTTAACTCGGATATAAGCATAATTAATCGTTTAGTTATCGATTGATTCAAGTATTTGGAATAGAATCAGGAATCACATCCATTGCCAGGAAATTATTTTTTTCCATTCAGTGGCAGTATTTTAATTATTTCTTTTTTAAATTAATGACATTTTTCTGTTAAATTTCATCCCTGTACTACAGGTTGTCTCCCTTTACAAGCAATTTAGACATGTGTATAAATCAACTGCTCTGCTTGTGTTATTTCATGCAAAAAAAAAAAATCTTTTGCAAACTGGCAATTGTTTTGCAAATATTATTACCTTCAAGCTGACCTTTCTCATGACAATTCAAGGGATACATTATGAAAAGTAACATACACAGAAAATTCAAGGAAATCCTTCATTTTTATCAAATTATTTTTATATACCTAACCATATATTACCCTGACCAAAGGTTTGTGACACAATAGGTGTAGAACATAGCAGTATATTTCATCTGATAGAGAACCATTAGCATTGACTTGAATAATGATGAAATACATCTCTGGATAAATACAGTATTGCACATCATTGTGAGATAAATATCAATGAGATTATAAACAGTTCGGTATATGTATGTCAGCATAAGGAATAGAATTAGGGTAAATTACTTCAACGAGATAGCACGCAAGTTTCAATTGGAAAGCATATACATTTTAACTTTTCTAGTCACCCTCAGATGAAAAGCACCATATGAACACAGGAATTTAAACAGCAAAATATTTTCTTAAATTCTAAAAATAAAAATACATTATTTTCGAAAAGACATTTGATTTTTTGCTAAAACAAAGGGAAGTTGATGTCATGTTTTACACAACCTCTTCCTGCTTTGAAACATTTAGCAGCAATGTAATCTGAAATTTCTGTTATGATTTTTTTTAAAGTTTTAAATGTTGTAACTGTGGTTGCAAACTAAAGAAACCAAGAGAACACTACACCAAGTGATGCATAAATAGTTTGTTTTTTCTCTGAAATACCAATACAAAAATAAGATTTGCAATGTTGAGTTTAATTACAAATACTTAAATTTACATTTTTCAATTATGTTCACATAAAGTTATTTTGTAAGTTACTAAAACCATACAGATAAGCACTCTTGACTCACTGAGGGTGGTAGATACTGTATAACATGCAATGTTCGTGTACACTTTGTTTTGTGGTTTGGATCTTTCAAACGATTTCATGGGTACAAACTTTCGTGGTTCTATGACACTTTCCTTGGATGTGGTAGAGTAAAGTTCATTTCATTTATTATTAAGTAGAATCTACAACATTTTCGGAATTGAAGTCTTTTGCATACTTTTTTTCATTGATATAACATGATCATAAATTACACATGTACAATGTATATATTTTTGTGTGCACATTTTTGATTGAAATAAACTTCACATATTTTTCACGTTTTCATTGTGAATACTCTTTCGAGTTGTAGAAACACTCGTTGTATTAATATTCATGGTTCCAATGAAAACAACAAAAGTTTATACACAACGAACATATCATGTTATACAGTAGATCTAAAAAAGGCAGGTTAATCAAATTAAGAACTTTTTAATGAATTGTGCATTTAGCACTTAATGTATACAGTTAGTAACAATAAAAAATAGTGTTCTCACTGTATGGCCAACCATCAGTAAAACTATAAGGCAGCAAATCGGGGAGATCAGAAACATACATTGTTAAGTTCTCTACAGATCTATACAATGATGGGCCTACAACAGAATGAATAGATTAAGTACACATATATATACTCCATATGTCATACAATGATAATTTACACAGCTATTTACTTATTCTGCCATCTTAAGCAGCACAAAAAAACCCCACATTATATTGATCTTCACAAAACACAAAACAGCTGCATTCTTTGAATGCTACAATTACATCAATTTTATACGTATTGAGCACCAAATCAATCATGATTATTATATTTTAGGAATTTAAAGTTACTTCCCCTTAAGTTTCCCAGCATGAGTTTCCATGGAATTACCAGAGTCAAAGGTAGGTTACTTTAGTTTAATAATCAAGCTTTTCTCTTACACTGACTAACCAGTGTCACAGTTGGTTATAACCAAGCTTTTCTCTTACACTGACTAACCAGTGTCACAATAGGTAATAGCCAAGCTTTGTTTTCATACACTGAATAACCACTGTCACAATATGTAATAGCCAAGCTTTGTTTTCACACTGACTAACCAGTGTCACAGATAGGTTATAACCAAGTTTTGTTTTCACACTGACTAACCAGTGTCACAGATAGGTAATAACCAAGCTTTGTTCTGACAGAGACTTGTTTATCTGAGTACCTGAGGAAGTTAATAAATCCCAAGAAACAGTTTTGGGCATCTTATGATGTTGGCTTAGGTCACTTTGTTTCACCTTTTTGTCTATATGATCTTTGTCACCGACATTGTCTTCCTTTGAATTCTGACCTCCTTTATTGACCACATTCCTAGTTGACCATTGGCTCCAGTCCTGGATGTTCGGCTCTGGTGCCTCATCATCCTCTTCCATCATCTGGTAGAGTTCCTTGAGACTAGTGAGGGAGTTGGAGTCCTGGGCCAGTTTCAGGGATTCTGGGGGACTCCTGCGTTGCCCAGGCTTGGCATACTGGTCCTCTATAGCCATTTCAGTGTGATGTCCATTGCTATAGAGACTAGAGTTTCGATGCGGAGGTTGGGGAGGAAGAGGTCTAAATGGAACAACCTTTTCTCTTTGTCCATTCACAGGCATATCAGAGTGCTTGCTGTTACTTGGGTTATGGTCTGATGGCAAGGGTGGTCTAGGAGGGGGTGCTCTTTTACTGACACTCACAAGTGGGGGTGAGATTCTGTGTAAAGGAGGCGATGAAGGTGTTGATCTGTGAAATGAAGGGAGTGGGGATGTTGCTCTTTGTGGTAGGGGAGGTGTTGAAGATCTCTCGGAAGGTAAGGGTGGAGAAGGTGCTTTCCTTGACTTCTTTGGTTTGTTTGCTTTCCAATCTATCAAAATTTCATTTTTATGAAATTTTGGTGGGACAGTTCTTGGGGGAAGGTAAGGTTTCGGGGGTGCAGGTGCCGGATGCTTTTTGTTTTCCTTCTTGTTGCCTTTGTATCCACTGACAACGGACAGGTCTTCCTCCAGATTGTCTGGAACAGGACTGTTGGATTTGAATACATGTACTGCAGGGTCACTGTCTACACTACCCCCCAGATGCCCAGGAAGGTCATGTAACATGTCTGGTTTTTCTGGTTCAGGATCTGTTGTCTCCCTTGAATACATTTTCTCATCATCAGAAAGGCTATAACTGTCTATAATAACTATTTCCTCATCACCATGATATTTAACATATTCCTTTTCATCTGAAATTTCAATTATTTCCTCTACGTAACAAAATCCACCATCAGATTCCTCATACTTTGAAAATCTACCAATTTGTTCTAAATTGGGAAATTTTACACTTTCTTCTGAGTTTGTAAAATCAAACATTTGTTCCACAGACTCCATGGAGTCATGTGGGTTTTCCTCTGATGACTTGTACACAGGTTGTTGATCTTTCTTTGTATCGGCATTGTTCATGTACAAAGGATCTTTTTCTTCCCTTCGTGCCTTTTCTTGTGACAATCGTTTAGATGGAATAGGTTTATTTTTCTTCGATGACCCTCTTCTGATAGTCCTATCAGACTGAGACACTCTTTCATCAAGTATACCCTCCACTGCAGGCTCTAAGTCATTGTCAGAACCCTCGTCATCACTTTGAGTGCTCTGTTTCTGACCCTTTGACCTCCGTGCCTCAGGATTGGACACACCAAACTCTGCCTTCTTTGGTAAGGATGCCGTCCTGTGGATGAGGACCTCTATGCTATGAGAAGATGTCTTGACAGGGGGGTCAAACTGTCGGATTGACCCACTCACTGGGACAGACTGAGTGGAGTCCATACTGTCAATGCTAGCTCCACGACTCTTTGATCGCGCTAGCTGCATCTGATGAAACAATATGGCATCCCTGTCTATATTAAATGGTTGATTATATTCCTTTTGAAACTCAACAGATTCTACCGAGACTTGCCTTGATACAGGGCCCATGAATGGTTCATACTTGGGTGTTGTACCAACACATGGAGAAGGAGCTTTCACGATTTCCCTACCCAGGTGGTAGGCATTGTCACCAAGATATTTGCCTCCCTGCTGTACCCAATTAGAATCCACTTGGTCCATTCCTGGACCAAACTCTGGGTCCAAGTCTTCCCCAAACACCATTTCTATCTCTTTGTCCTTCACCTCGCTTGTCAGCCGTTGCTGCAGCAGAGATTCCCAATTGGTGGAATTCACAGAGCTACTATTCGATTCTGAACTCATACTTTTCAGACTGACATATTCTCCACTTTCCTCTGAACCGTCGTTCATGTTGAACACCTCCGTGATTTGTTTTCTGTTGGGCCGTTTTGTCTCTCGTAATTTAAAAATGTCCATTGGCACAGCATCTTCCTCCTGAGCTTTTCTCGCCTTCCTTTTACGCCTCTCCGCATCCCGAGCCGCATCTCTTTTGGCAATCTCACTCAAAAGTTCTTGCTCATATTTAAATTGTTCTTCAAGGATGTTTTTCATCCTGAGACGTTCAGCGTCAGACAGGAGAAGCCTGATAACTAGGACCCCAATGCTTTCCTTAGACCCGTACCCCTGAGCCAGGTCCTGGAGGCGTTTGGCCGCCCGAACAGGGTCGGGTATGTCAATGATTTCATCAACAGCCTCCTGGTATGACATGTACTTCCACAGACCATTGTTTGCGATGATGATGAGCTGGTCGTCCTGTCGGAGGTTGATGCTGGCGAGATGGGGGTCGGGTAGGACATGTGGGTATAGATATGTACAGCCAAGCAGTCTCGTGTTGAATGTTACCCCACTCACACGCCCATCCTGCAACAAACAATTAGGTACCTCAAAACAAAATGAAACATAAAATATAAATGTAAAACAAATTATATACGTTTTCTTCTGTTTTATCCCAATAGACTGTTCTACCCTATGCATCCTATCAAACAGCTATTTATGATCCATCAAATATAGTGAGACAAACATTCTATCAAACAGTGGTGTAATTAAATTATTCATCAAATACATTAAGACCAGTCAGAGGTAAAGGTCCTTACTTCTGTGATGATGCCATCTGATCTGCAGATTCGTTGACACTCCTCAGTGTCTGACTGGATCAGGAAGAGACGGGACAGAGTGACAGCCTCACCGCTCCGACTGATGACAATCTCTGTGTCCCCGACATTGGCCACATTGAGCAGGTGATGTGTGTTAACCCCATCTGAGACCTTCTTAATGTGACATAGAGCCGCTGCAGCTCCGACCTTCTGACCTGTGCTCCTTAGCTTCCTGTCAAACATTGAGGTCATTTCTTGTGACAATTATATCAATGTCGTCATCTTGTCTCAAAAATTACTGCATGATCAAAATTATAAAATAAATGTTTTTTCAACATGATTTAGATTGATTGTTTATGGTAAAATCTTAATACACTGTAAACTAGGAAATTTTCACCACATTTTAACTTCGTCCATAATGAGAGCATTATCCAAACAGCAAATATCAGAACACAGCATAATGTAAAATCATAAATTTTGGTGGGACATTAAATTTCGTTTATTTCGTGGATAACAAAAACCCACGAAATTAAATCCCCACAAAATATAAAGAAACTTTCTACATGACCAAATACAATCAGACCATTAATTGCCTTATTAACACATGATATTGATTGTAGGGATGTTTTGCTGTGTTGAAGGATAGTTGATATTACATTGAAGCCTATCTAATTTGTACCCCGGTTTTTCCGATGCTGTCATATCCAAGATGTTGCATTTTTACCAGTTCTAATAAAAACTTCCAAATCATACAAGTGTATTATGACATCCTGCATGGCATTATATTACACAGGTTTTACTGTACTTTACAGTTTTCTTAACCCTTTCACCCCTAAGTAACTTTAGTAGACTCTACCATACATTTATTTTGATGAGTCCATTATTGTCTACAGTGGTGAAAGGGTTAATTTAGAATTATAAGTCAAATTGGTTTGATGTGTTTGTTACAAGGACTTACGCATGTGCAGCCAGCATGGTGTACTTCATACAGTGTTTCTGTGACGTCATCGTCTTCGACTCATCCAGCATGGTGTCACAGATTACCTCCCCTAGGATCTTGGTCACTTCATCATTTCGGCCACCGTCAAACATCCCAAACAATCCCTCCACTTCATTGGTGAACTTAGGCTTGTTCACAATGGCAACAGACAGCCTTAAAATACAGTACAGAGAAATAAATGATCTACTCAGATCAGACTTGGCATGTCTCTTGTTTTATTAATGGGGTGATAAAATCACAAATTCTACGTCTGTTATGATCAGTCAATATCAGTTAGGAGAGAAAATTCAACAAGGCTTAAACTGGATTTAGAAGAAAAAATCATGAAAAAAGTGACATGTGTTTATGCTCTTTTTTCTATATGCTGAATATGAAAACGAAATTTAACACGAAGTTATTGTAAACTTGTATTGAAGGTGATAATTTCTACTGTTTCCTTACTTGTTTCTCATGCCCGAGGTTTGAGACAGTCCTGACTGCCATGGCTGGTTCACATCATCAAACGGGGCTTGTCGCAGATCAAGCAGAGAGCGGTTCTGTCCCCTCATGTCAACCATACTGATTTTCTTCCAGTTGCTGAAAATATATATTTCAACCTCATTTAAAACTCACTAGCTGACACACCAGGAAGATTTGTACATATGTATACTGATACCCTTAGCTTAAGCCTCCCTCCCAAAACTCTAACAGCATATACTTTATGCAATTTGGGATGCCTTTGTCACTCCAAAGAAAGCATTCCTTTATAAACCTGTTCTAAATTTCACTTTGCTTGATCAATAGTCTTTTTCTTTCTTGGAAAAATGAAGCCCTAGAGTTTCTCGGATATTGTCCACAGACCTGATGCCCAAGAACGTTAACTTTCATGAAATCTTTCCAGGTGAATAATGCATCGGAGCTTCCCAGACTGTCCACACATCTCATCTCCTACAGTTTTCCACAAAAGGCCAACACCTGATACATTAGCTGATGCTATAGAGCTTCTGAAATACAGCCCTGCCATTAACCTTATGCTCTAAGAGGTTCATACTTATTGCTCACATACCTGATGCCCTTGAGCTCGCCACTGTCCAACATCAAGTTAGGGTTACCGGAGATGTCCAGCAGGTTTACTTGAGATCCCATCAGTTTGCTGACAGGTAACTCGGAGAGACGATTAGATCCTACATCTAGTATCTGTAAAACATATTGAAACTCATCATGATCACAAGCAAACAATAGGTATTGTAATCCGGGAACATTTGTCTCTATGCTGCTTACATCCATATTAGCCCAGTACTGAATTTGCCTTTCATATTTTAATACTATAAGTATTCTGTTGTTAACTTATGTTCACAGTTAAGAGAAGTTAAAGAGCTTTGAAAATATCCTTGAATGCAGTGTGCGTTTGAGGATATCATTACTTTTATATATAAAGAGTAACCCGTCCTAGTTGTGTATGCATTTCCTTACATTATGTTCATTGTTGTATATACACTTGCCGTTACAGTAAATTTACGGCTATATGCACTTGTTCTACAATACACACTTGTCCTTACATTAAGTTTATGGCTGTATGAATACACTTGTCTTTACATTAAGCTCATGGCTGTATGAATACACTTGCCATTACAGTAAATTAACGGCTATATTTACTTGTTCTACAATATACACTTGTCCTTACATGAAGTTCATGACTGTATGAATACACTTGTCTTTACATTAAGTTCATGGCTGTATGATTACACTTGCCATTACAGTAAATTTACGGCTATATTTACTTGTTCTACAATATACACTTGTCCTTACATTAAGTTCATGGCTGTATGAATACACTTGTCCTCACGGTATGGCATTTATCATTACCTTGAGGTTGGGTGACTTTTTGAAGTCTGGAAGATCCTTGAGAAGGTTAGCATTGGCCCTGAGACACTGTAACTTGGGGTGTTTACACACAGCCGACGGGAGGGAACGTAACAGGTTACCCGATATATTCAGCTCCTGTAGAACCTCTAGTCTAATGATATCCCTGTAAACACAACAATCTCTAATTAACAATAATTGGAGAAGTATTAATATCACAGAAATTATGGACAAGGGGCATAACTCCAACAACAATGGTGAAATGTGAAATTGATTGTTAATCATTTACCAAGTTTTATCAAAATTTGTCAAGAATTATAGATATTGTAAACAAGAAGTAGAATTTAGGTCAAAGTTGCGTCAATAAACGGATGCATCAATAAACAAAACTGGTACAGTACCTGCTGTGGAGATCGGTGATGTTGTTGTGAGCTACATGAAGCACCTTGAGTCGTGGGAAGGTACAGGCAAAGGGCAGCGCAGCATTCCCCAGCTGATTACCCGACATGTACAGCTCCTGCATCCTGTTCACGCCTTCAGTGTGTGAGAACAGTTGCATATCCTGAAGCTTGTTCATTGTCACGTTCAGGTACCGCAGTCTGGGGGCACATAACGTAAAATACAGCTACCTCTAATCAACTCCAGAGGGAATATCAAATGTATATAAAGACTTTAAATTGGGACATCTTAATACTACCATCTAGCATTGCGTTAAAAGAAGTTTGATGGAGTATGTCAAAATAAATCATGACCTTAATGTGTAATACCTAGAGTACATGAGCACCTTATAACACATAAACACAATGATACTGTGAAATTTGTTCAGTCAAATCTCCAACTAGTTCTAATTGTAACGTCACATCTCCAATAATACATAGATATACAGTCAAACCTGTATTGAGGGACCACCAACAGGAATTAAAAACATGTTCTCTCAACACAGCTGGTCTCTAAATAGCTAGAGGTTCAATCAACAACAATACCACTACAATAGGGGAAATTTACAGTAGTATCATCACACAGGTGGTCTCACTCTTAATGGAGGTGCTCGGATGTACCTGTTTGACTGTAGAAAAAAATATCAACTGCAGAATAATTCTGAAGGTCTTCAAAAAGGTAATACAGCATGCAGTGGCTGTATCAACCTGTAACAGGTATTACTGGCAGTTTGTACTCTACCTGGACGCGCGACAGAGGAGTTGTTGAGGAAGGTCCGTGAGGTCATTGTGTTGTAGGTGGAGCTCTTCAATCACCGTAGACTCCATCTCCAACGGCAACTCGGTCAGGCGGTTATGGCCGAGCATCAGTATCTTCAACTTTTGGGCGTTTACAAACAGTCTGAGGACAAAAAACACATCACACATTATCATTATACTGTAGAGTTCTTTTATGGTGGACATTACGTTTTTGCTATAATACTGAACTAAAAAAAGATCTGATGTATTAAAACTCTGCAAATTAATTGCTGTTGTAAATACCATCGACTAATATGGTGTTGAAACAAATTTGAATCTTTCAAATTTGTTCCAGAAACAGAATTGTGAATTTACCTTGACTATCAAAATTAATTAAAGTACTGTACAAACAGATGGTCAAATATACAGCATGTGTTGATCAAAACCGCTTCTTGTCCATGNGATAATTATCCACACGTTTAATTAAATGAGAAGATATTACAGAACAGTATATGTTTACACCAAATGATAATAAAAGCCAATTAAGACACACAAAAAAAAATGCACGAAGCACCAGTTTCAATTAAATTTTGTGACAGAAAACCATAGAGAGTTATGACAGGGTGTGTGTCAGTTGTAGATATAGCTCTACTTTTAAGATAGCAGGTCATAATTTGTGCAACTTACTTGCCAGGGAGTCGACGTAGTCTATTGTGGCTGGCATCGAGCTTCACCAGAAAGAAACACTCAGAAACCCATGAGGGTAGCACCTTTAATTTATTGCTGAAAAAGGAACATTACCAATACAGGGTATATCATTACTACATTTTCTAAACCTGCTTATAACATTGATTAAAAAGAATCACAAATTTCCTTAGTGAATAAAGACTATAATGATTTTGAGATTTATATATTGTGAAGCAGATCTGGATGAGGTCAATCGCTGGTGACTAGACAGTTCACTTGGTAAGAGCATCTGATGAGAGTCGGAGGCCAGAGGTTTAAATCCTGGTCTTACAGTTGCATTACCAATTTCTCTTACTGAACGTAGATCACTTCTCTCGCAAACAAAGACAATCCTTCATTCAAATTTCTGGTTCAAATCCTGGACAGACTTTGGTATTTTCCCAATCCTGTTACATATCATTTAAAAAAATCTTTTTCTTCTCATTCTGCCACACAGGGGATGCTTAATTTTTGTACAACCCTATAATAAGTGTATCGTGTTCACCTGTATCTTAGTAATTGCACAAAACATTTTTTAGATTTTATGTGCTCCATTACCAGTTTTACTTGTTGTTAAGATCTATTATTTACTTTATTGTAAACAATACAAAACCAAAAAATTATGTCACTTTTCTGTACCTTTCAAATGGGTCATCAATGAATGAACCAAGTATATGCTACCCATTAAGGTAAGACAATTTAAAGGTTTATAAATGTGAAACTCTTTTGCAAAAGGAGATATATTTCACAGCGATTAAAGGCAGCTTAAAGTGACAAATAATGCATCTGTTTCCCTCAACCTGCCACGGTCTACACGCGTCATATACATATGTGTATCGGTGAAGGACCCCGTTCAAACACTTACCGAGCTATTTCCAAGTTGACTAGATATTCTGGTTTTGGATTGATGGAAAATGTTTCCAGTTCTGTAACACAGAAATTTCCATTTTTATATGTATGTGAAAGCAAATAACCATTTTTTTTTTCTTTGAAATAATGATAAACTTTGGCAGATAAAGTTCTTTGTAAAATAAAACAAACAATTTGAACTCAACATTTAAAATTGGTGGGACTCTTCATCTAAAGATAACTACAATCAACAACAAACACACTTAGACATGTACTAGGTCACACAGTTTCCAAAATGTTTACAATGCTTACCATTTTTTGAAGCAAAAAGATTTTTTAAAGACATTCCGTTGATCTGCAGCGTGTGCATTGCGTTTCTCTCACAGTTTAAATACTCCAACGCTTTCAGTGACCGAACATCCAAGTCAGGAATGTGGTTGTCTCGTACATCGAGATGAGTCACGTTTTCCAAAATGTGGAATTTGGCCGTTTCACTGGGTAATAATGTCAGAGAATTCATGCGCAGGTCTATTTTTTTCACGTGCCTCAATTTACTGAGAATTTCGTAGGGTATTCTTTCCACCCGGTTACCAGCCATGATAACACTGTCCAGGTTTTGGTGGAACGAAGACTGATGGGACTCCAGCAGGATCTCTGGGACTGTGGTAAAGTGATTGAAGGCCAGGACAATCACTTTGAGTGACCTCATTTCCACCATGTTGTCGGGGAGAGACGTCAGGTGGTTGTTATGAGCATGCAGCATCTGTAAGCTACAAGTCATTTACAACATTTGAGTCCTGATTCATGTCAGGAAAATCTTTATCTCATATATAAGCTAAAATGATTCAGATTATATATATTTCTGTACCAATCACTAAAATTTGTAAAATAATCCAGAGAATGTAAATTTACAATCACTAAAATTTGTAAAATAATCCAGAGAATGTAAATTTACAACTTCATTCAAAACTTCTTATCTATTTTTTTTAATATTTTTAACACTTAAGACCCTTTTTAAAAATGTGGGAACTGATCTCCAATACCAATTACAATTTTGATATCATTCCTCTTTTAAAATCTATATTTAGCTTAAAAATAGCCTATCATAGTGACAAATGCTAATATATTTGTAATTTTGAGAAATTTATTGTTTAATAAGAAATCTTTGAAAATTGTCATAGACCACATATGAACATTCAGTACTACAGATATTTAAGTATCAAATACTTCCTTCATCAGAGCTATTTTATTGAATCTGTTGAAATGACATTAGTGTATAGAACTCTGTAAAGTAGAAACCTTGTTATATTGGCACCATTTCTTCAGTGACATTTTGGCAATACAAAGGAGCTCTAGTTCTATCCCTTGTGGTTTATCATTGGTGGTAGAAACACTCGTAATCTATCATAGGTGGTGGCCCCCATACTCTGGTTTAAAGGAATTGTTAAACAAAAAGGATATGAGGACCTTGAAAAATGTAAGCAATATTAATGAAGCGGCAAATGAAATGAGGATTATATTAAGGTTTTACCAAACAGTTCAACCTTGACATTACATCTTTTTGTTTCGTTTGCAAACCTTAGCACCACCATCATAGTACAAGGTCCTTGGCCCACTTGTATAAAACATCTCAAAGTTAAGGAAATTCTCAAGCAATATATTGTCTATGGGAAATCTTAGACTTGAGGAAATCTCAAGAGTTGAGATGTTTTATAACAAGTGGGCCAAGTTTCTCTTACTTTCTTAACTATTTCTATAATATTTCTGTATGTATATCTCCCTCGAGTTATTGCCAATTCTGATTATACTACCAAAGGTTTGCTTGACAAATGGTGACTGTAGCTAGTGTAACAAGGTTTCACTGTATGTTACTTACTTGGTCAGGTCGGTGATTTCTGTCGGAATCTCCATGATTTTGTTACTGGCCACGTTCAGTTCTGTCAGCGTCCTCATCTTGCACACAGCCATAGGGAAACATTGGAGGTCGTTGTCTGCCAGGTTGAGACTTTTCAGGTTACTAAATCTGGAGACAAAAGAGAAAATCCTGTGTTAGAAAGTTCCAAAACGTACAGATTTCCTTTAAAAGAACACCCTAAATGATAAAACTCACTATTGAATTACATTAAGAAGTTAGAAAGTCTAGACTAATTCAGTGATCATTACCTGGTAAGTACAGAACTATATATATATAACCACTTCATCTGTCTATTGGCACAGTGGGTTTTTTATGGATTTTTTTCACAGCCTATTCCTTAATGAATTCAGAAAATATAACATTATTTTATTGAAATTGGGAAAATATTCCTCATTTTTTGGTAATTTTGGGAAACAAAGGCACTTTCTAGCTAGGGGAACCAGCCTGTATTCGGCTGTAAAACTGAGAAAAACAAAATCACTTATTGGTGGTAGACTGTGATCATTTACCTAGGAAGATCGTCAAGCCAGCCGATGGTGTATATGTCCTCTTCTATCGGCCGCTCTTTGAGGGCATTGTGCCGGAGGTTGAGGATGCGTAGGTCTTCGTTGATGAACACAGTCTCTGGAAGGAACTCCAGGTGGCAGTTTGACAAATCTGCCTTAGACGGCAGCTTGGCTGTCGCCTGCAAACCAACAGGAAGTGACATCAGAATTAAAAGTCTGTACAATGATTTAGTAAGTGATGGTAGCAATGAAAGATACTTCCTCAACTCACATCACATCTGTATTCACATATATCACTCTCTTTAAATTTTGTTAAAGAAAATAAAGTATTGCAAATTACCTATTATGCAACTTCAGGTTAAATTACGGAACAATGGAAATAGTATGCCAAAGTATTTTGTAATCTAGGTTTTACCTTTTTTGTTTTCCTGATCCATTTTGAGTAGGTATTGTCATCAGCAAATGCAAGATACACTGATCTGTCGCCTTGAAGCGTAGAGGTCAACTTCAAGCAGAGGTCATGACCTTTGACCTGGACCTCTTCCACAGATCCCTTGGCTAATTGCACAACAGTTGGTTTGGAATTCTTATTTTTATCTGAAATGTAAGAAAACAATAGTTTTAAAAGGGTTTCAGAATAAGTTTTCTTTACTTTCAGTTAACATGCCTAAAATTGCATATTTCTGATTGATCTTAATTATTGTACGATAAATATTTGATGTATCATACAGATACTACACAGTGATTATCATGATCCTTGAAAAAGAAGTCAAAATTTAAAATTCCCACGTGCATGCAGCTAGTGAGCTTACAGTACAGATTCAGATTCTTTATTACACTCTTGACACACTTGTGTGTGTAACAAGAGGTCAAAAATTCAAAACAACATACATGGCAGACACCGTAATACAGTTACTAAGTTCATTGTAACATGAATAATTATATTAAATATGCATTAAAGTAATTCACTCAAGAATAATAATGATTAATTGCAAATTATAAGCATATAAAGGTAATAAATAACAAATTTATGCAATTTTAGAATAAACTCAGCATGCAATTGTATGACATCAGCGTGAAATACATAGGTTTTCTACATTTTTAAGAAAGTAGCTCACTCTGGATAATAAGGGCCAGTTACATACCTCTCATTTAGATAGTGGTATTCATCCCCAATACCATTATTACATAGCAAACAAGTATGATTAGTACGTGGTATACCAACCCATCTACCAGTTTCAATGGGTAATTTTAAGTTCGATATTCTAAATTTGCTGATAATTATACGTTCGCTGGAATTAAGATTAACTAGATAGGATTCAAAATTAAACTTGTTTTTAAAGATAGAGTAGAACTGTCCATGAGACGAAGAGTCAATAGTAGAGAACCAATTTTGAATAAATTGATCACATAGACGTTTTTTAAGCAAATTTTTGAAGAGTGATCTATTCATTGTACATGTATTTTGGTATATCCAAATATTAGTAAACCCTGTGTTATTGAGTAATAATTTTATATATCCAAGCCATTAAAATTCTGCAGTATTATTTTCTTGCATTTTTAGTATACGTGAATAAACATTGTTCCAATGTGAAAACAAATATATGCATGTTCTTCTCCCCAATGTTTATTTTCTTTCAGATTTAAATTTCAGGAAAGGTTTTTAGTTAATGACCGACTGGATTTTAGCAGTATTATACCAATTATTTTTCAGAATTTCTTTTTTAGCATGAAGAATCTACATGGATTGTGGAACAGGAGGTGTCTCCTTTACCTGTCACAGGTGTTAAATCTACTAGTGGGTGTGTGTACAATACAGACAAAGTTTTATAGAAATAATGAGAAAAACAGGAACACGTACACTATATATTTATTCATTTAATACTTTAAGAGTTAAAAGAGGGTATTACATGAAAAGAGTTGTGGGAAACGTGCCGACCCTGTGTCAGGTCGAACACGACCAGAACGAATGGGACAAAGGACTCGGCATTGATATCAAACTTATAACCTCATTAAATTTCCTGACTGGAATCGCTGGTACTGTGAGAAAATTTCGCCAATGGAATGTGTATATTAGAGATTACGCCTATGTGTGACTTTTGTGATCCTGTGTACTTACAGAATCAAGATGCTTGTGGCATGTTACGGGTTTGTTGACTTCTATGACGTGCATTAGAGTATATAAAGTCTACATCAGGGTGCCTTCTTAATTGTATAATCTTGCGATCAAACAAGATCAATCTTAATTTACATTTCAAGTAATCAGGTGTTAAGATATTAGCCCTGTTTAATGTTTTCATTGATCCTTTGAAGGAAATTCATGGGGAAATAACATTAATTCAAAAGATAATCTCACTTAAACATTTAAAATATATGAGAATATTTCAATGTCTGTTTTAAAGCACTTCAAATAGATGTACTTTTTCTACTTCTGCACAGGTAAACTATATGTCTACACCTGTGCAGGTATACTATGTATATACCATGTCTATACCCGTACAGGTATACCATGTCTACACCTGTACAGGTATACCATGTCTACGCCTATACCGGTTTACCTTGTCTACACCTGTACAGGTATGCTATATCTACATCTGTTCAGGTATGCTATATCTACACCTGTACAGGTATGCTATATCTACACCTGTACAGGTATACTATGTCGACATTTGTACAGGTATACTTGTCATGACACATGTACAGGTAATACTCCAGGGAATGAAATTGAGCTTTGTTTGAACTGCAGATACTAGTTTTAATTCTTATTCTAAGGAACAGAAAGTTGCATATTTTTTTTTATGATATAGTATTTTTTACCTTATTTTATGATATGATCAGACTTACCCCTATATATTTGAAGCCGAGTGCCGGACACCACACAAAGTCGCCGGACCCACTGGTGGAGTAGCTTCCCCTTTCTTACCATGGCATATGCTGACAGCTGATTCCGTGAGTATGTACTGTCAGAAATAGGTTTCCCTGTTAACAAAGTAAAACATGATTATTTTCAGATGAAAAGCATAACTTGCCTGTTTGGATAAAATTCTAAAAATGTATTAGCATTCAATTATTAATTGTTACATTTCATAATGTAATAAAAAAAATTTTTTTTTTTTTTTTTTTTAATATTTTGGAAATTCATATCCTCTAAATTTTGCTTAGGAATATTCATGTCCAAGGTTTCTATAGCATGGGACTGGGGCCAAATTCCTGAAGTTATTTAACTTACAAAACAATGGTTTTTTAGACCTATAGATCTGCTAAAACACTGAAAGAATATGCTTCGACAGCTTTGAGGATAAAATGTTTTCATTAATGATTTCAGTGATAGTTAAAGGTTGGGTTGTAAAAGTGTATTTTTTATGTCTGAAATAAACTGTGACACAGATGGTCAAATATACATTATTGATAAAAATCATACCCAATCACTGACGAAATGCGATAAAATTTCTGATAATACGAATCAAGCAGTTTGCGAACACGGATCCGCGAACAACATTTTTACAGTCAATTTAACATTGATATCATTCATGATTGATCAATCGTTTATTTATTTTTAATGTGAAGTCCTGATTTTGAGTCCACACAGCCACCATGGGTCACTGTTCACACGTTCTAACCCTCTCATTATCCCACACTCACAGACATTTTGTCCTGTACCATTTGACCAAAGCATGTGATCCACCCACATTCTCGTAGATTTTATAGGGAATTAAAAGGAAGTATTTGGAACCACAAAAATAACAACAAGATAATAGTCTTTAAAAGACATGTATTGACATGATAAGTATGTGTTGAAGACAACGTTTGAATTTTATACCAATTAATGGCTGCGTAATTCAGGTTTTAAAATTAACATCATGGACATAAAATATACAGTCAGAAGTTCAACTCATCTGAACAATATAGAAGCTGGTCCAACCTGTTGTGTTTAAGTGATCGACGGTTGTTTAGAGCATTGTCACTGGAAGAGGTGATTTTCAAATCTGGACTAGAAAATAGTTACAGAGCTCATTATATTAACTGAAGGTTAAATGCCAACTCTCCTAAAGAAAAGGCCCTGTAAATTATTGGCCTTCCACTGTTACGAGTTATCAAATTATCTTTAACAGTTGACAATACCGTAGTGAAATTTTCAATGTTAACATCAATATATTCATCCACAAACCAATTAGATGAAACAAAATGGCAAATCAGGACATTTCGCTATCAGAGATGATCATTACTTTGATGTATCTTTTGTATCTCTTGCAATAAAGAGTTCTCACATGGTAAACATTAAAGTAAGTCTTAAATACAACTGCCATATATTAAGGGGTGTCATCATGTGATCATGAACTTTATGTACTTATATGAGAAGAATGTGACAGCTTATTGTCAAGACCACTTTAATTGACATAAAAAAATGCCTGTGAAAACAAAGTATCATATTTATTATGAATTAATTTTATAAGTTGTGTTGTTGACAAATCTTTTAAGTTTTCAGCTTTGAATTTGGTATTGTGGATGAGGATCATGCAGCTACTGTAGATCTGCTGGAAGAAAAGCTCAATGAATGTAGAATGTACCTTTTACATCACTAAAATATTAAAGTTCTCATTTAATATCTACATATATTTTTCTTATATTTGTTGCGAAAAAAGACGTCCCGCGCTATGACCCTCGATTTTTTTATTTTCAAAAGAGGGTCATCAACCTCTTTCAGTATATCTGGGGTTGGCAGGTATATGTACCCGAGCATGATTTGCATCCAAATAATATCTTCAACTTAAATAGGCTTTAACAGAAATTGCTCAAGCCAAAATATTTAAGTACTACGGGTACATCATAAATTGCCACGTACAAAACGAGTTTGATTTTTTCGGGGTAGTAAAGGGTTATTGCATTGGTAACAGTGAAAAATGTATATAATAAATTTATTACTCCTTTAACGCTAAACTTGAGTGAAGAATCAAATAGTGCGTGATGGTTACAGCGACACGGCAAAATCATGACGGAGCGGAATACAAGTTAACACCCACCTATTCGCACTTAATGTCAGACTTAAACCAAGCTTTATAGAATTCAATTTTTTATGCATTAAAGTTTCTTGTCCTTCATTTTCTGAATGGATCAATACTCTGACATTTCAATAGTTCACGTTGTAGCTTTAAAGGCTGGGCATCGACAGCAAACTTGAGCCACGATTTTGTAACAAAACTCCCAACAGCATAATGGGAAAACATTTAAATTACACAACTTTATCCCTAAATTGCAGATTTACTTGAATATTTGATGGTCTACAGCGCCTGTTGCCTGGTGATGAACAGCTGGCTTAAGGTGATAATATTATCAGGTTTGACCACTTCATTTCCTTCTTAATAATAACTTAGAGATAAATAAGTGAACTTTTTGTGCTAAAGGGTCATAACATTTCTAATTTGTAAATCTATATCCTGCAATGACTGAGGCTAGAAGGTAAAACTAGAGATAATGTACTGTCACAGCCCTGAATAAATACAAAGATTGAAACTTTGACAGACCCCGTACCTAGATGATTAGGTTTCATAATAAAAATAATTATCAGAATTTAAAAAGTATTTCCTGAAACAAAAGCAGGTTAATTGTTTTAAACTGTCATATTACTGCTATTTTAAGAAGTTCACTTTTTGAGTTATTATTCTCAATCCACTTCCTCGTAAGTGTTTTATTGGCTCTAGACACAGTTATTTACAGAGTGGCAACAGATATATTATATATTATATCCATTTCTCAAAAAAAAACAGATTTTAAATATTACCATACAGGTCAATCTATTTCACAATTTACATGTAAAACCTATCTGTAGATAGTAACTGATGTCTAAATACGTCACTACTCCCAGACCTGTCACTCCTAGCAGACTGTACTGTAGCATGCGTTATAAATCACAGACAAATCAGTGTTTCCCTAACACCAATAATCATTACACCATCAAATACGTAACTGACATTTGACAACAGCCTGTCACTGTCAGCATTTATAGACATGTAGATCTAGATATTTACATTTAATCATGGCACATCTTAACGAAGTCAGAATAATTCAAAAACTTTATACACAATGAAGCGTTCAGCAGTACTTACCAACCAGAACAGTTTTACATTCTATTGATATGGTTTGGTGGGCTAATACTGATAGCAAAATCCAAATCCTGGTACAACCAAATGACTAGACTTTTCATAAAAAAGTCTGATCTGTTCAATAAAATAAAAAACCAGAACTGTTGCCACAATGACAGACTTATACCCCCACCTGCATCAAGAACAGTAGGAATATAATTCTGCTTTTAACAAAAGGGCAAAACTCTATCGACAGGGGAGGTAACTCCAACTGATAAACTTTATTCACATCCTCTCAATGGAAGTGTCAGCTACATGTATCAAGTATCATTCAAATCTGTGCAGTACTTTGAGAGGAGAAGTGTTAACAACTTTTTTTTTAACAAAGATGCATATATTTCCATGATAAGGGGGAGATAATACTTAATTGAATTCCCCCTAAATGTAAATAGATCAAAATATATCATTGGCAGATGCGCATGATGTATAACTTCAGATTGTGTTGACTGCATCAGTGATGTTTCATGAAATTCAGCTGAAAACTGTAGGTGTTCAGACACGATCGTGTCTACGAACAGACAGATGGGCAGAAAGACAACCTCATTCTAGTCTATAACAGGTCTCCCCCCATTATAACTTCATTGAATTAATGAAATTATTTTATTGACCAAACTTGTTAGGGTGGTTTTTTTATGACGTACATGTATAAACAGGTCTAACATGTTTCTTTGAGATATGTGTTACATATTTATAAGGTGAAGTAATTTAAGATTGAAACTTGCGTATTTCTAAACATTTTACTGGCTATGCTACATTGATAACTAAAAGGATTCACATGACAGTTTAAACATATATCCATCAATTACAGTTTATTAGTAGATGAATCTGATCTCAAAATAATCAAATTATGCAAGATTTAAGCATGATTATTCGTCACAGAGATTTTTTTGTGCTAGGAAATCATAAAGTTTGTGAGTAATTCACAACAAAGCTACTTTTGTCCCACTTTGTTTATATCAGAACATGTACACCTATACAGGAGACTCTGTCAACTATATATAAGTTATAGGAAATAGAAACTACGTTTGTGTTCTATATTTGACCAGTACTTAGTGCCCCATCTTTTATGTGCAATCCTTGTCATTCTTTTTCCGTCTGAGTGCTTCATCCTGTCACCATATCTGACTGACTCACTTCAGCAATCCTAGCTGATTAATATGACCAATGAGATTGGAATTTTCTGCAACTACTCTAATTTTCAAGAACTGCCAAAGTATCCAGAGCTTTTAATTAATCAATCAAATACGGTATTTCATTACACTAAAGAAAATTTTCAGTAAATATAACTTACTTGCAAATATTTGCATAAACACATCTTATTTGTTAAGGAAAATACGAAGCACATAATCCTGAAGACCAGATATTAATGGATGTCCCGATGTGATGGTCAGTTTAGACAGATTTTATGATAGAAACAATCTAGAAATTAATCCTGAAATTCATCTCAACAGTGTTCCAACATCAACTTCTTGTTTATTTGTTGATTATCTCACTCTATGATATTGCAAGTCCAAAGGTAAATGTGTTGCTGTCCTAGTTTATTAACGTTTTTATATACACTGTTACATGTATCAGACGTTTACATGCTACTGAATGGAAAATACTAATTTTCAAGTCGCATGTCAGAATGTAATTTAACATATCTGTTTATGTATGTACACCAAATGTTTTGACTGAACTCAAAGAGAAGAAGTTATTTCATTGACATTTGAATTAAACTTAACTTTCAGAAGTTATTGCTATCATATTTTGTATAACCAAAAAAAGAACATTTTGAAAAAAACAAAAAAAAAAACCAATGAATATTATACATATACTGTACTTTGCACTGGTAATGGTACATGATTTTTATCAAAAATCTTATTTGGGCGAGTGTCATCCCGCAGAGCTTTTCCCAGCAAAAACTCCACCCAGATACACACTATGTCTTTCAGTCTGAAGGGACATATGTTCTATGGCAGTCTGTTTATCCTAAACAAATATTGAGGGGATGGCTGGCCTCTTACTGGATTATGTTTGAAAATGCCCGAATGATCAACTCACTTTTTAATAATAAAACCAATGTTCACCATGATCTGAAGGACAATTGATAGGGCCATAAGTCTCAGACTTGTTCCTTCTACATTCTCAATCCTTGTCAGTTTCACCACATTGTTCTCTCTTAAAACTTCCTCATCGTTCATTGTAAGTTCTCAAACCTTTTCAGTCAATGCTCACTAGATCATAAAACTTGCGAAAAAGTTATGGATCACAATGCCTTGATTTAATTCCATTCTGAAGCCTTCCTAGTTTGGTCATGATTATTGGAGGCATGCAGATATAACTTTTCTTTACAACTGTGGATAGCCTTTAACATTAAATACAGAAATTAAATGGTAATCCCTGTTCAGATATATGAATGCAACTGTTTGTAATTTTTTCATTATATTTATAGTTGCAAATACTATGTATAATACTTGTAGTCTTGCATGATGAACAAATATGCCTAAGCTTCACTTTGATTGGTGAATCTACAGTGTTTCTACATTATTCCATGTATTTAGTGTAAACCTCAAAACGTATTTGTTTGTAATGAGAATGATACATTCAAGACAATACACGATTTTGACTTTCCAAAAAGCAAAAAAGGTCATGGGTCAAGGTCATTCTGAGGCTGTAAGTTCAAGGCTGTAAGGGAACTATTCATACTGTACATATTCTGATAACAAAAGGTCAAGGTCATCAGGGCTTTAATGAACACATTCTGATGGCAATTATGAAATCAAAAGGAAAGAAAGAAAATCATAGAAATCAATATAAGTATAATCTTGGGGTGAAATCTTCAAGGTCAGGAGGGATTTTAATGTTGAGACCAAAATATGTTGTTTGTAATATTGAGGGCCATACAAACACATACTGTAGTAGTGATGTCAACATTTTTATGAGAACAGATCCTTGTACAGATAGTGTTAATATGTTTTTAAGTCTATACCCTGGGGCTTTGAGCCACAAATTAACATCTTCCATATCTAAACCACATCTATAGCATGTATATAGCAATAACAGCCTGGTGATTCAATTCAAGTGTATAATTAAATTTTTCAATATTTTATAAAAAATATTTCGAATATATTTTGCACTTTTACGAGCATTCTAAAATCCTTTTTAATCTGAAATTTCTGTGGTATTTTATTAATTTATATAGTGGATTAAAAAACATGTAGATGTCTCAATTAAATACCACACACATGTAAACTGCCTTCAGGTATATAACCACTAGCCGGCAAAACATTCAATTTCTGTCAAAAGTCAGATTGACAACTTGTTTACTTTGGATAAATAAGAAATATGTATACTTCATACATTCAAATATCACCTGAATAATGGTACATATAAATTCACCCAACACTGGTTCAGATAATGATAATGGTGTTCCCCAGCTTAGTCACAGTGCTTGGTGCTATTAACACACACCCCAGAAACTTTCATACAAAATAGGCAATTGTGAAAAAAATCTTTCTAGATTTTGTGGAAAAACCAAACAATTTGAGTTTAAATACCATGTCGCTCTAATATTTTCAGTTTCCCAGACAATTTATATAAAAAATAATATGTAATAGTCCTGAGTGATTCAATTTTTTGATAATTTGTCACTAAGGGTGATGAAGGCTAAATGTAGCTCAAACACATTTATAAATTTAGAAAACTATATTACACACTTTTCTTAAATCTCGTACTTATTATACAGTAGCAGAACATTAAAATTACGTCAACTTTTGAAGAAGTTTATGTATTGGACTTCACTTACAAAAAAAAAATGTGCTTAATTTTATCTTTATTTGTAATGTACCAATCAGTACCTTCAAATATTTCAGTCTTGTTTACCTAACTAAATGCCTCAAGCTTACATTTACATGAAAAGTTTTTGTCTTAAAAGCTTGTTTAAGTTCCATAGGACCCTTAACTAGAAGGAAAGATCCAAGGTCATGTTCCAGATTAATAATTGTATTACCTAGAATAACCCTTTCATACTTTAGAGTACTAACATTCCAGATCCTTGTATTTCAGAACTAATCTTTTGTCAAATGTAGATATTTAATTATCTTCAAACCAATTAATCCAGATTTATTGTGGAAATAGTAGTAAATAGGTATGTCATCCCACCATATCGTATTTACACTCCAGTAACTGAATAATGGGTATTAAATTTCGAAAGAAAATTGAAATTCCCGGAGAGGATTTGGTTTGCTTACCTGCGTAGAATTTGACAAGCCATGGTATGCTGTCGTTAGATCCCATTTCCTGTATTTTGTGAATATCCCTGTACCCAATTTTCTGTAGGTACTCATTTTGTAGAGCCAGTGGACAATCAAAAGGCTCAAGCCTTCGGATGATGTCCCCATTGAACTGAATATGGAGGGAGTTTGGCGGTCTCCCACACTGAAGACATATTTTCTGAGCAGTTGTTGACAACGTGGATGGGTAAAGTCTTGAGGATTCGGAGTTTGAATCAAACACACGTATGAATCCGTTACTCGTATCTTGGTCTATCCATTGTTTGTCAATACTGTATGCCTTGTTGTTATTGTCTGGTTCTTCTTCCTCCTCATTTGATTGGTCAAGAGATTCCTTGTCCCGTTTATTGACCTCGTGGTAAAGATCAGCCAGAGAGTCTGAGAGATCCCATGTTTCCTCATCTCCATGTTTGTGGAGAGACAGGCCGACACTTTGGTGGGTCAGTCCCTGTTCTAGGAACCCTCCTACACTCCACCACGCCTCGGCCCCCTGGTAGGGGGCGTTGAAGCCTGGTGGGTCCTCTGTGCGTCCTCGTGTTGAGCCCTGGCTTGCATAGCTCCCTTGGGAACTACCATGGCTGCCGATGCTGACCTGACTGAGGGAGCTGTCACTGCCCCGCGGCATGTCCAAGGTCACATTGGTCCTGTAACATTAAAACACATACGGTCAACTGAAATACAATGTAACCTATCAGCTATTGCATATCACATAATGAAACTCAATAGTATATCAGACACATACTTGACAACTCTCCCTATTTTGGAGGAATCAGACTCCCGATTTAGGACTTTAAATTATTAGCCTTTCTTACCAGTGAATTTGCTAAACTATCTCTATTTTGTAAGATCTGATGATTTCATCTGAACGAATTACTTAAGATGTCTGCATGCATTCAAAAGTGATATTTTCCCCTTGGGTGTACAAAGACACACTTAATTGATATTTCTAATTAAGAGCATCATCAGTGTAATCTCTCCTACAGAAATTTTAAAATGTTGGCAAGTAAGCAGACAATGTATTCACTTTTATTAAAAATTACTTTACTTCAATGCATTAATGTAAGGACAATGTGTACTAAACTAATGGGCCTCTAAAAATTCCAAAAGCCAGGAGTACAAAATCTGTTGTGTTAGAATTCTGAAAAGATATCTTCAAGATATAATATACATGTATATATTAGATCAGAAAATAACACAACATTTTAGGTATTCTAATTGGTCCAAGAATCAACTTTCTTTCACTGGATCAAACTAATGTCTCTGAACCAGTTGAATTAAAGAAAATATGTATATACTTTGATATTTTTATAGTCGCATATGAGACATAAACGCACATTGTACCAATAAGTGACACATAGAGATAGTGTTACGGTGCATCGGCAGGTAAAAATAGCAGTGAACTGCAGACAGGGATATCAGGTGACACAAATTTTTAAACAGAATAAGAAAATTGAAGTATACAGGAAGAAAAAGTTATCCAATATGTCATGTCTTCAGTATAAACCCTGCTATTTTAACTCAATCCTTGTTTTTACTTGCATTACTCATTCAGAATCACTTCTATCTCTCTATGATGAAATATCATTTACAAATTCCCAAATTAGAAGTAACAATAATACAGACTTCTTCTGCATGAGACAGCTAAGTACTTTGATTATTATGCCTCATCTATCTAAGCAACATGTCCGATTGATTATATTGATCACATGATAGGGAAACAAAACATCATGTTTCCCTCTCTTGCTTGAGTTTCCCCAAGTCATATTTTACTTACTCAAAGCCTCTCTAGAAAAAAAGAGGAACTACACCTACGTTTTGAGAAACAAAAAAGGTGTGGTAGCCTTGAACTATCTCTATTTCTAAGTTTTATTTTGGTATAATATTTGTTCCCTTTGTAGTTAAATCTATATATATAGAGAGAAAAATACAATTCTTTCTTTTCCCTCGGTATTAAATCCTATTACACAAGGGCAAAATCACTCTACAGGCCAATATTACTAGTGGTATATATACAAGGCTTCTGACTGCCACAACATTGTCATATCGTAATACAAAACCCCTTACAATTCATATCATCGATATTATTTCTAATGATAAAGGTACACAATCATAGAACAGAAATTAAGTGGTGGACTCTTCTGTCCTGATTGTTTTACTGGTAATGTGTGTCAAATCTTCAGTGAGATGTTTCACAAAGTTGAGGTACATTGTGTAAGTTAGAGAGTTTTCATCATCACGACATATATAGTACAGCTCAGGTCATTTGATAACAGTTTCCACCTTTAATCAGAGTACTCATTATTAGGGCAATGCTCAAGTGCTACAACACTGAATTGCTAGAGCTTCAACACATCAGCATGACATCCTTACCAGTTACAATTTTCTGACAATGGGCTAACCTGAGAGATATTACAAACAAGAATTCCATGGCAGTGGATGTGTCGCCTGCACAGGAAACTAGGAGATGACGAAGAAAAAGTTATACTTTTCATTTCAAGAAATAATGTTAAAAGTAAGCAATAATCATAGATTATGTTTTTGGATGGCATCATTTTGTTATATAATCTGTTATTCTGGGAAGAATACTCTGAGTTTTAAGAAACTTGCTATGGATACTCATTGTCTCAATTCCAAGTTTAATTTGAATGATTTGTCGGATGGTTTCCCATAAATAAATGAATAAACTTGTGGATTATGATGTTAAACAGCTAGTGTTGTCAATGACATTTGGAGCAAGATGGCATTTCAGAGGTATACACGGTGGGTCAAGTGGTAGATCGAAGCCGTCCAGTATACAGTTGAAAAGAAAACCGGACCTGAAAAGCTATCCCAAGCAAGCACTTTTGGTAAGGAAGCATTGCATGAAGTTTGAGTTTGATCGGCCCAAGGAAACTCAAGTTATCGCACGAAAACAGTTTTCTATTTATAGTAACAGTGACCTTGACCTTTGACCTTCAGACCTGAAAAGCAATCCCAAGCAAGCACTTTTGGTAAGGAAGCACTGCATGAAGTCTGCGTGTTATCGGCCCAAGGAAACTCAAGTTATCGCACGAAAACCTCTGTGCGGACAACGATGCTGACGCCGACATAGCAAATACCTATGTGTCACCAGTTTTTCGCAGGCGACACAAAAAAGAAAGATAAAAAATGGAAAGACAAAATATTACAACTAATTAATGGGTGCAGGAGATCAATTTTAGCCATTTCTTTCCTCTGAACCTGCTAAATGGACAGATGTGATGATGGATTTAGGATTTAATGCCACATTAACAATGACCTGAAGAACTAGTTCACTGGTGTGACGTACAGGTAGACAAGAAGTCTGGGTATAAATTACACAAATAAAAATTAATTCCAAAACTTGCTCCTTCTTTTAATTGTCAATTCCCCGAGGGATGAACTTCAACAGTCCAGCACATCCCAATTTGAATTCTCAATATAAATAGGTTTATATTATACCTAATGACTAGTAGGTAACATAAAATCCTTACAAAGGCAAGCAGATAATTCCACCCTGCAGGGTGACCTGACCTTCTGTTGTATAAGCCAAATATACAGCCGTACTTAAACCTGTCCCTAATATCTGTGGGAAGCACAGCAGGCCATACAGATCTTCTTCTAAAGATCCTCAACACATGCCAGTTGTACTGATTCTATACACAGGCCAGTTGTACTGATTCTATACACAGGACAGTTGTACTGATTCTATACACAGGACAGTTGTACTGATTCTATAAACAGGTCAGCTTTGCTGATCCTGAACAATGCCCAGCTGTGCTGATCTTTAAACAACAGGCCAGTTGTACCGATTCTAAACACATGCAAGCAGCTATATAAATATGCTGATCCTGAACGATGACCAAATGCACATTACTGATCTTATAAACACAGGCCAACTATAACACTGTTTCTAAACACAGGTTAGCTATGCTGATCCTAAACTAGGGCCAGCTGGCCCTACTTCTGGATCATAAAAAAAAATCTGAAGTTTAAATTGTCCTAAGTTTTGACTTTAATAGCCAATCACAAATAAAAGTAGCTAAGTGGTTAAGTTGTCTGATATTTTGCTACTACTGGCCCTCCACCACACGGTCACAGGTTTGACTGGGCAGTCACCAAGTACTGGCCTTAGGTTGGTGGTTTTTCTCTGGGAACTCCGGCTTTCCTCCACCACCAAAACCTGGCATGTCCTTAAATGACCATAGCTGTTCATAGGACATAAAACACAAACAAACAAAACCGAACAAATAACGTCATGAAAAGTGACATTATACATGATTGGCTAAGCAAACCTTTAGGTCTAAGATTGTTTAATGATCCTGAGGCTAGCTCTCCCAATATTTACAGATATACCATACTTTACCTGTACATTACAGTCACATCCTGTGCCATTGGATAAGGCCTCAAACTCCCACCTACGAATGTTTATATATATACAAAACGAATATCCATGTACCTATACATATGTTTATATATCCAAACGGACATCCATGCACCTACGTATGTTTATATATCCAAACGGACATCCCTGCCTCAAGTTCACTTCAATATTTGACCCACTTAATCATCCAACATTGAGCTATTCCGATTCTCAAAATTCAAGGATGTTTTTTAATATTCAAATTCACTGGAACTGGATCATCAGCCAGTGAGAACAGTCAAGGATTTGTGATATTGAGTCATTATCCCTGAGTGTACTTTATGTCACATTCAGTCACCCTTAACATTACCTTGATACCAATGAACAAAAGCAGCAGGCACAGTTCAGTGTCATCAACATTGGTAAAAACCCATCAGTACAGTCTTTTAAAATGTAATATTGAGAGATAGACATCTGTTTAAAATGGCACTTTTAAGATTTTAAGCACTCTTAAAATCAAAACTGATCATTTGATTTCTATTTACAGTAATATATCTAACTCCCTTTCTCAATTTCTGAGCATCTTACTCTATGAAACTCAAGTGCATCTGTGAAGATTTATTACCCATCTTTTAAGAAATGAACAGATTTTCAAGATAATGGCAATAAAAAACACTAACAAGAGGTCACATAAAATGATAGACCATGATGCTCCATTAGATCAAAGTCTGAGGGAAGCTTTTTCTATCACCTTAATTATAAGCTTGACAATACATTTTATAACAAAGAATTGTAAATATCTTGTATATTGTAGCGTTTAGAGTTAAAAAATTTCTCAATTAGGATTTCCAAATTGTTTTGTATCCATGACAACACTTATGTATTAAAGTAATTATGACAAAGTTTACAATCGATTTGTACAAATAGAACTTAAACTGTGTGTACATTTAGCACCTAGATTTTAACTCATTAACCCCTGAAATTTCATAATGAACTATTCCAAACTTTGAATTGGAGGGGTTCAAATGCGTCTTCAGGGGTAAATGAGTTTGAATATATATAAAGAATTATACAAATAGTCTTAACAATCAGCAATATTCTTCAGTATCTATCCACACCCAAGCCTCTAACATAATGATGACTCATTTCTTTTTTCACAAAGGAATTTGAAAATACTTACTGTTTTTGGCAGTAAAATAGCAAACTGTTTTTTTCTTAAGGGTAGACAGGTGATTCAGAGGAATGTGATACACCAGATATATAGTTCCGCTGGGGATGTCGGTAGAAGTCTGAGATGTATTTATGTGGTTACCTACTACTCCTACGAGTTAACCACACACCCTAATGTGTCACCATCAGGCTTCTGTGTCCCTATAAGGCCTAGTCCAACACATCCTTAGTACTACAGCATTGTCCTTACTTAGTTAAAACTAGAACAGTAATCCAGAGGCCAACTAATATAAAACTAAAACCTCCTGTATGACACCAATACCATTCTATTGACCACCAAAACTAAATCTTTGAAGATGATATTTGCTTGTCTACTGGATAACCAAACTACTCAGTAATGAAGCCGATGTAAAACCACCCAAACAAACATGATATACAAAAGGAAAACCTGTTCTAATAAGTCTTCATTTTTTCCAAGAGAACCCATAACTACTCATTCTACACTACTGATTAATGTATGAAGAAAGATACTGCATTCATATATGTAGTACAGTATAACTAAATCAAGGGCCATGACTCTTTCCCCGTTACAGATTAAAATATGATGGTTGCGCATGTACAGGTTCATATAATAGGTAAGAGGTTTGCAAATATAATTTTGTTTGAAACTTTTTGACATTTTCATGATTAGCATGCAATGATAGGACAACAATTACACCTGAACATCTGGTTTTGTTTGGGTAAAATAAATAAATAAAGGGCCATAACTCTCTTAATATCATTAAAAACAATCGTTGTTGTGGGAATCCCAACCTCCGTCATTAAGGGTGCTCTGATCAACAGATGGAATCTCTTTAAGTACAACACATATACATATATTATCTTTCATATGCAGTGGGTGCACCATGCATATAAAGATATTGGCAAATTTGTGTTGAAGTCCATTTACACTTCAGATATAGTAGACAGACTTAAACACTTGTTAAGCTGAATAATCCATGGGTTTTAATTCTCTTAATAGGAGTAGAAGCAGCACGGTAGTCACGTTTTACAGGTTAAGACGATAGTTCAGATATGCATGTAAAATTTCATTCTTAAGAAGAATAGTGCAATAAGACAAAACAGACAGACAAACAGACAGACAAGCCTCTCTTTTTGTCAAGTGCCATATTTAATCACATAGGACTGTCTGGGGTATTTTAAGTAATTTAAATGTCTGTCATTATATACAACCAACATGTGAATCTCTTCAGACAGAATGTACTTTCTATACACACACACACACGCACACCACTTTCCAGTCATACCACTATGTCAGTCAACAAAATAAAATTATGGACTAATTTTTCAATAACATTTTTTTCTCTCTTATAAACCTGTTTTCTTCAAACTCGCATAAAGTAGTAATATCTCACATCAAACACAGGTTTCCTGTTCTCCTAGTTTTTGAAAACAAATTAAAATGAACCTGTACATTGACAAGTTGTAATAAATCTAACAGCTGTAAAATGTAACTTTGAAAAATGTCAGAATTTTGAATATTTACATTCAATTTATACTATGTATTAATTATGAATACCTCAACACTTTTTCCATAAAACTCAGAAAAAAACATCAGCATTACAAATGCTGTGCTGCAACAATAATCATAAAATTGTGTTTGTTCCAGAAAACTCCCATTATAACAGCTTTCTGCATGATTAGCATACAACAATGTTCTGAAAGTTATTTTTAACATTTTTAAGAAATGAAAGAACCCCACCTGTATCATTGTGATACAACAATCAAAACGCACAATATATGTACAAGTAATGCAGCTGTCTCGAAGTTCATAGTTGTTTTTGAAAATTTAGCTAAAAAGTCATAAAATTTTAACTGTAATCTGACTCATACAACTAAAATAACTGAAAATGCTGTCTCATATTGCAGGTATGCTTTATGATATAAGTCTGTGTACCACCACTCCGACATCGACTCACAGGTATCAATTGTGTCAGTGTCAGAGGTGACAATATTGCTACAAAGAATATCAATATATTACACTACGTCATTGCAGGAGTGAAGTGGTTTTGAACAAATCAACAAATATGCTTTCAATTTTTGTGACCTTGACCTTTGACCTATACTGTATGCTTTTCATCTAAGATTCATTTGAAACCGTTTAATTAATATCAATAACAAGTGTATTTTGTATTTTTAATGACAACAAATTCAGTTTCATTTAATCTCTGTTGTTCAGCAATCACTCCAGCTGTTAAATTCAACTTGTTTGATGCTATGAAAATAAACTCTGTTCCAAATTATGCATTGTACTAGGCTTTTTTACCTAACAACAATTAATGTATGTAATATCTATTTCACGTCTTAACACATGCCTCAAACAGAAAAATTGAATTGGAATGCAAGAGCAAGCAATGAGAAGCTGAGTGTGTGTGTTAGGGCAGACCAGCCAGGCTNGGGGGGGGAGGTCAGATGTCCTACTGTAGATGCCAATTAACACTAGTGATTGTAACTTCAAATAATCAGATATCATAATTATTAAACAGAATTTTGAAATCAGTCCAATACCGCCAGATCTATAACCATAACCAAAGTCTGATACTTTCATGACAATTTCAGCCAATTAAGGCACACAGCCATGTTTTCCATCTATCAAATCGTAGGAATACATCTCTTTAAGTCAACCTCAACATATAGAAGCGTTCCTAAGACATCTTTATGAAAAAGATACATTTGTTTTTGCAAATCATGCCAGGAAGGTCTTTTAATTGTATGTCACAATCAGGAACATGCCCTAAAGTAAAACACACTATTTAGAACATACAAACATTGATCTCCTTAAAGGAAAATGATACCATTAGCTGTATACATTTAGAAAATTCAAATCTCATACTGCACCTGAACATTTATCAACATTTGTCCAACTTCCATGTACATTTATACAGAAAGATATTGGTATAATTCAAATCTCAATATACAACACCAACTTTTAACAACATTTGTCTAAGTCCAATATACATACAGATATTGGTACATGTATATGTATTTCTATCCTCGGCAAAACAATAATACATCAACAAAGAGTGCAGAATTGTGTCCTTCACTTAAATAGCAATAACAGAACTCGTACTTAACCAGAGCTAGTTAATAAACATAATCTTACAATATTGTACGTAGCAATTGTTTCTGTAAAGAGGCGAGCACATGATTTGTCACTGTTATTTTCTTTATAAGTTTCATATAGTTAATTACCTGTCATATGATCTAAACCAAGAACATTTACATTGATCTAGACAATATTTCCTGTCTTTTTATACTGTATTGACCATTGTCTACCTCAATCAGTGTCAAAAACACACACATCAGAAAATACTCAACTAAACAAAATTTGTTTATATACCATAAATACTTGTTATTATTTTTCCAGCATCCGTTCCATCAAGGGTTTTTAATTTCCTTCCTCTAATTAATGCCCTTATCTTTAATCATTTTTTTTGTTTTGAAAATCACAAGAACAAATAAGGTTTTAACAAACTACAAAGGACATAATTAAGACAATGGTTCATATAAACGTCTCTCCTAAACTGTGATTGTGTATAAATTAGCTTATAAAATTCAAGGACAGCAAATGAACATATTCTTTATGCAGCAATAACAGGCACCATATATGTTCGTTGCCAACTGCGTTCATACTACCGTATATGCCGTCAAAATGAAGGTCAATCCTTACATGATTACAATTTACAGTAAGATCCTCCTGAGATAAATCTTGACCGGGGACGAAAATACAAGTTGTTATGAATACAAGTTTATAGTAAACATGTTTAAGTCAGTGTAGAAATTAATACTTCTCTGATATATTATCACAAAATACCTTATCAATCAAACCTGAAACCTTACCGCCGACTGAAGGGAAGTATGACATGTTTGTAGTTGTAGGAGCGCCCTGGCAGGGATGGGAGCGGGGACACTGTATCCTGGGATTCCATATCCATGATGAATTTTACCGAGTTTGTCTGTCTCACATCTCCAGGAATACACAACTACATCCCTCCTCCCTTTTCTGTGCCTGTATACAGATTCCTCTGGTAGTATTTGATTCCTATCTCTGTTAACTTGTAAAATAATCTGTCTTTTTCCTCATGACGATACTTGCAGTGGTCACCCGGTGAATGTCACCAGTGTCGTTATAAATATTAAGATTCTAGAATAGTGCGAAAAACAGTATGTTGATGCCTGGTTATAAATTCCTCAGGGCACACAAGTCAGGAAATGTATATCCACTTCGGTATTGTCATCCATTAAACCCATCTAAACCACACCAATATCCATTATGATTACAAACAAGATAATTCTACAGAAGTTTAAAAGTGATCCACTAGAGACTGGTCACATTATAGCCACCAGGTACCACCACACTGAGAACACATCCAACCTTGACCTGGTCCAGTACAGTATGTGACAGTCACTCACTGTGAACAAAGTTTTCTCACCTTCCTGTAACAGTCTGTATATTCTTTGTAAAGCACAGTTAATTAATTTTTACATGTATATCCCGTTACACAATGGAAGTGCACTTATAAGTCTTTAAAAAATATCCACCGCTTCAGCACGGAAGTGCACTAAGATTTCTAAAGATATCCACACACAATAAAGAATATCCACAGAAAAACAGGTAAGTGACAATGGAGATCGCGAGAGGTACTGGCTATTGATGTCACAATGGGAAAAATGGAGGACACACTGTTGCTGACCCTCCACGGCCAATGTCATCCTTACAATAACATAATCCTTAGTACCTGTTCAGCTGTCAGTCAATTCCAACAAAAGATCACCAGATTAGAGGCAGAGATCACTAACTTTACTCATTATCCTCTCCTGTGCTTCCATATATACAGCCTGGCCCTACACAGCGATGTCATGTCACAGCACAGATAAAATTGAAATTAAAAAGTTGGGTCCCGTACAATGTAAACATTGCCAAGATTCCATAAGGTGATCTAGGAAGAGACATACATCCCTGGTTTTGTTTGTAAGTTACCAGAGCATGGCTTTTCTCATCCCTATAGGAAGTCCACCCAGGTAATCAGGCTGTATCGGCTGTCTTTAAAGTTCCTGGCCTGGTCGCTCAATCGGTTCAGTAGTAATCTATTAGGACTTAATTCTAACCTTTAGAAATAACATCGGACAAAAGCCTCAGCAATCATACAAATCATTAATAAATTCAAGTTCCAAAAGGCTTACTACAAATGTTTTTTAAACTTTAGAAACTTAAACATGTACGAAATTACTGTTATCAAATGTTTGTGTACCCCAATCAGATCGAAGGTGACATCATCCAGTAGATTTCTCCGCAGATATCCAACACCGGTCAATGAAGTAACCGACGATTCGTTCAGTGAACATGCCTGTGACACTTAATGTTATGTGTCCACCGCGTCAAAAGAGGAAATGTTATTCAGTACAGTATAATCATACACAATGATATAACTGACAGGTACATAAAAACACTGCTCCATGTCTGACAGCAGATTAATCGAACACCTCCGTACAATTGTGTCGTATTTCGATGGTTTTGTCCATGTTTTTACAGACAGCTCCACAGCCTCTGTGTGTAGGTAGAGTATAGGTTATGCTTGATCGAACATTCATTGTACAGTCTACCTACTCTCTAACAAACAACGCAGCGCTACGCCTCGGCGATCACACACCACACACAATACACATCCAGCCGCTATCCTCACCATCGCCACCCTCCTTCCCTGATATAAATTCCACGGATCATGTTCCCAGACTAACTATTACAATCCATGCAAGTTAAAGTAAACTTCTTGCATGCTATACGTGTATTTTACACCAATGGAACGTTAAACTTCTACTGTTAAATTGAAAACTTATGTAATTTAACTCTGAATATCCGTCGTGTGTTTACTCTAGAACTTGTGGATACTTATGCTCGTAATAGCATTGGCATGTCCACATATTAAAAGTCTTTTGACCCACCGGCTGTCTCGCTAAAACCTTAAACCTACCAACCCACAGTTAATTAGAGAAAGTGTCCATTCAAAAGTGGTCACTTTATTGACCGAAGAAAAGCTTTTAAGGAATGGAGAACCTGTTTGTATGTTTGAATTGTGTCACTGAATACACAAATAGGTACTGACAGTGCTGGGACTGGAGTCTAGTATAGTGACAAATGAGGTAATCACTCAAACATCATGGGGGATATATAATAGAGATGTACAGCTCTCCTCATGGGGGGATATATTACAGGGATAAACAGTGTACATCTCTCCTCATGGGAGATATACATCTCTCCTCATTGGGAATATACATCTCTCCTCATTGAGGATATATTACAGGGATATCATTTCTTGTCCTGAAGAGTTACAGGGGGTAAATTATAGGGATTACCCCAGTCTGATTCATCCCCTGTACAATGAATTAGTTTTAATGACAGCCAGCTTAAGTATTCCTCATATTATCAAGTCTCTTAATATCATTTTCCACTTAATGTCACATTCCACTTATTGTCACAGTGTCTTGAAACATCAGTTTTCTCCTATTATTTTTTGAGTTGATCTCAAATTAATACCACTTCATTTGGACCATCACCAAAACTTTTCAAAGAAATGTTTACCTGTGTTTGGGTACAAAAACCTGGAGTTCATAACCCAGGGAGTCTTTTGTTACTCCTCGGTAAGTTATGAACCGGACATTGGGAGACATTCAAAAATGTTGTGCTTCTCTAAAGTGATGAAGTTAAGCTGGGTGATCTGGTGGAAAAGTGGATAGCTCTTTTGCCTTTCATTATATAAGATGGCTGGGATCCCATTCTCCTATTGGATGTGAATTTGGGATCACCTGTTGAACTACATGGGGATCCTCCTGGTACTCTCGTTTTCTCACACATTTAGACCCGTTTAACTCTATTCTTCCATCCAGGGTGACAAGATGGATTAACTTCTTGGATTATAATAGTTGTAAAATAAATAACGTTTAATTTTGTAATTCTAAAACACAGAAAAATTGTATATTAATAAAAAACCTGAATCATGCAACTGAAAGTGGTTGTATAAGGTTCAGTACTGGCATATCTTCTCTATACCCACATACACAGAAATTATACTTTTACACAGCATTTCCCACCCTTTACTATATACTAAACGTTACAAGGGGCATTTACCTTTTAATAGTATATTAAATTAGTAATCTCAGAGCTGGGCACTCTTTCACAGCTCATTGAAGAGATTTGAAAGGCATATTTGCCGTCCTTTAAAACTCCATGGATCTAGTCATGCTTGTAATAGTTTAGAGACCCAGAAGTATAAGGACGTCACAAGATTGGTGAATGGCCTGTCCGACGACTAGACCTGTCATCTTTCTCACAAAATGATGTAACTCAATACTACTACTTTTAATATACCCTTTTGTGAATAACAAATACATCCGCGTTTTCCTTATACATGTATACACGCCTTGGGAACCGAAAATATGTTTGCATATCTTAACACAGGTCTCCATTATGTACTTTAAACAACTGTCAGTCAGAAATGTTATGATCCTTTCTTCTGTATTGTAACAGAACAATGATCTAATACATTATACCACAGCAATTATAAAATATCAATTCATAAGGCATTATGTGCACATATTCTAAAGCTCTTAAAACCTCTGATTTAAATCTCCATGAAGTAAGGGGATAAATATGTAACGATCGTGTTCAACAATACACAATTTATGTAAATGTCAGTTCCATCATCAATGACAACATTTGGTCTAGAAACTTTTAAAATAGCTTTTTTTGAAAATTGTACTTGTATCTCAGGAACTTATGTGTTTAAAGATATATCTATACCATATACAACATTTTAAAATTGTACATGTATAATATTTCGAACATGACAGACATAGGCATCAGTACAGCTATGTAAACCTGGATTCAGGAATTGTTTCTCTCCTTTTATATAACAGACATTAGTCCATGATGAGACATTCAACTCATATAACCTAATAGGTATATATTGTGTTTAAACAATAACGGATCCCCTTACCACTGTCAAAAACGGAAACTATGCATTCGAAAAATATTTTTCCAGCATGACTTATAATAGCTTTGATGAATCATTTTTGAAAAGAAAAGTATACCTTGTGGCACTGTTATGAAAAAATATAAGATGTTAAATAAACAAAATTAATGAACAATAGTGTTCTGATTGTAAAACTTGAGGGGGACTGTACTGACTGGGATCGGAACCCTGGGTCAGGTACACAATCTCTCTAACCGATCAATGGAAGTGTCCTGACCCAACTCTGCTACAGTTATATCCAAACAGAAGTGAAGGGGAGGTAATTACTGTATATATATAGGAAAAACCACAGTGCAGTACATGGGTCAGGGATCCTTGTCAAAATGTCTGTAGAAAATTGCCATCTTAAATCTGGAATATTACACTGGTTCTTGTATCCAATGCAACTGTTGTGTTCTTTAGGACACAAGTTTCTTTGTATAAGATTTACAAATTGAAATCACTGATTGATTAACATGAAATACAATATGAAGCAGTCCTCCTGTAAATCTTTGAGGGTCTAGTCAATAACCTTCCATGTGTCCGCCCATAATGAAGAATGTCACACACCTCATGCCAAAAAAATCCCAGCACTAAATCAATTTTAGAAAATGTATTAAACTCGAAGAACCATGGTCACCTTGAGATCATCGGGTGGAATACCATTTGGCAATTCTTTCAGGGGAAACTGGTGGTTCCTAATTGTCTTCTAGAAGAAAAACTCCTTTGTTTGGAAACACAGAAAGAGTTGATCCTACGGGAGGATTGAGTTCCAACAGACGCCCATATCAACACCCTGCCTGACAATACAAACTTCATTAGCTTCAGAGAAATGCACCGCAGACCCCTTAATAGTAAATCTTAAAGATACACATCAACTATAAAATCACACAACAGTCTATAATGCGGGCGTCTAGGTCCTGCTAAACAGCTTTAAACAGGGCAAACATTTACATTGCTGAATTCCAAAAGACAGATCAAACCAATTTGCTAATATAGAACTACGTTAATGGTGGATCATGAAAGGAAATGGGTTCATTTTATTTGTACTTAAAGCGCATTCTTCAGACAAAGAAAACTTGTACAAACAGATTTTGTCACTTGAACCTTTTCACCTTAGAGAATAATCACTACAGAATATCTGATCAACTGCTTTCACTAGAATATATCCACCAACTAAAAAATTCTGCCAAAATGAAACGAAAAACAAATTGTTGCTTCTGTTGAACTAAGTTATATAAATTTTGTAATTACATTACATCACTTTTGTAATTACGTTACATCACTTTTGTAATTAAGTTACATTACTTTTGTAATTATTTCCTGCAAAAATTGAATAATTCTTTTTGCTTACCCTTTATGATTTGGAATGTGATCGTGATTGTGATATGATAATCAAATAAAATGCTTTTTCAGAACTAAAAAACTAAACTCAAGAGGTAAGAACTGAAGGGAAAATAATGAAGAGGAAAGGGATGACAAAGGAAGACAATTCTGAGTTTCTCTATAATGATATGCCAGTTGCCTGAACCACATGTGGACCCCTTCACAATGGTTACACTGTTTCCTGTACCTCATATATTAACACTTGTGTCCCTCCTTCATTAATATAAAATCGAGAAAACAAAAAAAACACAGCAACTCTAGTCTCAATTAAGCCTGTGTTGAGGAAGGAGTAAACCATCTTTGAGATATTGGTCTACAGAGTAAGAATTGACATATCATCATGTATGCTGAGGGTCCTGGAGCAGTGGTAACCTGTTTAAGGGCAGGGACCTTCAGAATTCAAATCAATAATTCTATCAGACAGAACTATCAACAAGATAGCAATGTCAGCTGTGGCTAAAATAAGCGTAGTCCTGGACTTGAACATGAATATTTTTTGAAGTTTTTATGACCTTCTCTCCTATTTGACACTGCAACTGGTTCACAAATGTCTAGTATAATGCCAACATTTCTTTAAGATGTTGTGACCATGAAGAAAATTTCAAGCAGTAAGTCCTGACAGTAAATACCAAAGACACCAAATCTAAATACAAATCCCTGATCATCACCTAAACCATTGCTCTGTATCTGTAGGTTAATGACCACTGGTATTGAGTCCGGTGGACCGCCTAGAAAGTAAACAGGATATGCTGATAACCGACCGAATTAAAGCATCATCTATCATTACTAGTAGCTTAGAACTAGGCTGGAAACCTCATCAACGACAAAGGGGAACCTATACAAATGAAATTTGAGAAAGATTCTTGAACGACTTTTGAGAGTATCAATAACAAACTTTAACGGTCACCTCCAAGCAGCCATGGTTTACTTCAAACAGTCTAAAAATTAAACATGCAAACTTAGGATCATGAGAAACCTTATGAAATTTGAAAAGATCCCTCCAGTAATTCTTTGGAAACAAGTGATAATTAACAAAATAGAATTTTCAAAATCCAAGATGGCCACCTGACTACCATCTTGTTTTTCCCAACCAATCTCAAAACTGATAATGCACATATATGAATCAAATTGAACCTACACATGAAATTTCAATAGATCTGCATAGCTCTTTAGAAGCAGCAATAACAAGAATTGTTGTATGGATGTATGAACAGATCTAGAGGAACAACATCAAACAAACATTTAAGGAATTCACATCCTAGCAGTTTATAAACTGATGTTATTCAATCTTAATTGGTGA